TGATGGACTTTTCGTAGATTTCAGGAAGGCATATGATAAAGTGCCACATCAAAGGTTACTGAATGAGCTGATTTGAATAAGGAGAAGCAGTAGACCATTCAGCCTGTCAATCCTTCACCATTAAATGAATCGTGGCTGATCAGATTGTAACCCAAGATCCACAGTCCCACCTGCCCTTGCTAACCCTTCACCCTACAAGAAACAATCAACCTTTGCCTTAAAAAATATTCAAGGACTCTGCTTCTACAGCATTTTAGGAAGTGTTTCAAAGACTTGAGACAAAATTCACGTCATCTCTGTTTTGGATGGGTGACTCCTGATTTTCAAACAATGACCTCTAGTGCTTGATCCCCTTATACAGTGCAGTGATGGGATAACGTAAGCATGGATTTAAGATTAGCTGGATAACAGGAAGCAGAGAGTAGGCACAAATGAGTCATTTTCTAGCGGGCAAGTTGAATGAGGGGATTCTGAGGGACAGGATTTACATGTATTTGGAAAGGCAAGGACTGATTAGGGATAGTCAACATGGCTTTATGCATGGGAAATTGTGTCTCACTGAGTCTTTTGAAGAAGTGACGAAGAAGATTGATGAAGGCAGAGCAGTGGACATTGTCTATATGGACTTCAGTAAAGTGTTTGACAAGGTTCCGCATGGTAGACTAGTTAACAAGGTTAGATTACATGGAATACGGGGAGAACTAGCCACTTATATACAAAATTGGCTCGAAGGTAGGAAACAGAGGGTGATGGTGGAGAGTTGCCTTTCAGATGGCCTCTGACTAGTGGTGTGCTGCAAGGACCGGTGCTGGATCCACCACTTTTTGTCATTTATGTAAATGATTTGGATGTGAATATCAGAGGTATGGTTAGTAAGTCTGCACATGACACCAAAATTGGTGGTGTAGTGGACAGCAAAGAAGGTTATCTCAAAGTACAATGGGACCTAGATCAGATGGGCTGAGGAGTGGCAGATAGAGTTTAATTTTGATAAATGCAAGGTATTGCATTTTGGTAAAACAAATAAACACAAGACTTGTACAATTAATGGTAGGGCCCTGGGTAGTGTTGTCAAACAGAGAGACCTAGAGGTTCAGGTACATAACTCTTTGAAATTTGCATCACAGGTAGACAGGGTGGTTAAGAAAGTATTTAGCATGCTTGTTTTCATTGCTCAGACCTTTGAGTATAAGAGTTGGGACATCATGTTGAGGTTGTACAGGACATTGGTGAGGCCTCTTTTCTGGAGTACCATGTGCAGTTCTGCTCACCCTACTATAGGAAGGATATTAAATTGGAGAGGGTTCAGAAAAGATTTACCAGGATGTTGCCGGGACTGGAGTGATTGAGTTATAAGTAGAGGCTCTTTAGGCTAGGACATTTTTCACTAGAGTGTAGGAGGCTGAGGTTTATAAAATCATGAGGGGCAGAGATAAGGTGAATAGCAAGGGCCTTTTCCCCTAGTGTGGGGGAGTTCAAAACTATGGGGCATATTTTTAAGGTGAGAGTAGAAAGTTTTAAAAAGGACTTGAGGGTGAATGTTTTTATACAGAGAGTGGTTCATGTGTAGGATGAACTGCCAGAGCAAATTGTGAATGCAACTATGGTTACAACATTTAAAAGGCGTTTGGATAAGTACATGAATAGGAATGGTTTCGAGGAATATGGGTCTAAAGCAGGCATGTGGGACTAGTTTAATTTGGGAACATTGTTGGTGTGGTCTAGTTGGACCATGCTGTATGATTCGATGACTCTAGGACTAATAAGGAGCACTTAGAGAACTTGAACACATTCCTTGGATATTTCTCCCTGGTGATGTATGCCTTAGAAGGGAAAAATGTGTGTTCCAGGCACCCCCCCAAGTAACCTACTTGGGCTAGAGGGTTGACAAGACCGAATTACACCCGTTGGAAGATAGTGAGAGCAATCAAAGATGGCCTGGCTCCCATGTCTATATCAGAGCTCAGGTCTTTCCTTGGGTTGGTGAATTATTACAGAAAGTTCATACATAACCAGCCTCCATCCTGGCACTTTTGCATCAACTCTTAAGAAAGGGTTAGCCTTAGAAATGGTTGTGTAGCCAAGCCATAGCTTCCAGGGAAGTGAAAAGCAGCTAGCATCCTCTAAATTGTTGGCTCACTATGATCCCAAGCAAGATCTCGTATTAACATGCGATGCCTCCCTGTTTGTCATCATCATAGTATTAGCTCATAGGTGGCCTATGGAGAAGAACACCCAACAGCGTATGCATCCAGAACTTTGGCTAATGCAGAGTGTAAATACCTTCGGATAGAGAAAGAAGTTTTGATGGTCATATTTGGAGTCAGGAAGTTCCACTAATACCTTTATGGACATAGGCAACAGGATTCCCAATACCAGACATATCTCTGCTAAACAAGAGAGACAGTTTGTTTCGGGGGACAAAGTTTGGTGTCGGAACTATGAGAACCTACCTGCATGGGTAAGAAGCGTGGTTGACGTGAGGTCAGATCCAGTGACGTATAAAGTTTGGGTAGGTGAGATGGTCCTGAACAAGCACATGGACATATGAAAGCAGTAAACTTGCAAATCGTGTGGGAGCAAAACATGCCCGGCTCCTCAACAGCCTTTCTGACTATTCCAGAACCTGTAGGTTCTCCCTCTCTGTCAAGCGTTGAAGATACCTTGGCATCTGAGATGGACACAGCGGATGTCACTGCCTTGGAGCCTCTGCCACCTGAAGAGGAGAGTGAATTTATTCCGAGACGCTCCGGGTACAAGAGGCATGTTACTGTGCGTTACATGCTGCCCATATTAGGGGCAGAGTTGGAGGAACCTGACCCAGTGCTAAAACACCCCAGAAGGAGCTACAAAACAAAACCAGCCTGTGTCCTCGGGCACAGAGGTGGAGGGATGTAGTGATTGTAACAAAGTCAGCCAGGTGAACCTCATAGAGTAGGAGTTCCCTGATTGGGGCTGTTAATCTGGTCCAATCAGGGAGCCCTGGCTGACAGATAGAAACAGGAGTGTCAGACATCCTGTTCACTCTGAGAGCTGGATCTGAGGGAGCTGGATCAGTGTCAAGGACTCTCCACGTGTAAATAAAGGGGGACTTGGTGACAGAATACCGGCCTCTCTGGAGTTATTTCAAAAGTGATTATGAAGGCAAATGAAATGTTACTGTTTATTGAAAAGGTAATGGAATGTAAAAGTAGGATTGTTTACCTACAGAACATGCAAAGCTTTGATTATATCACATTTGGACTACTGGTCTCCTTACTTAAAAAAAGATGTAAAGGGTTAGAAGGAGTTAAGTGACAGCTGATTCCTGGGTTGAAGTGGTTATCTCTTGAAGAAAGATTGGACAGATTGCGCTTGTATTCAGTACTCTCTCTAGTTGTTTTTGGTGTGTGGACCTCAAAAGTCACGTGCAGTGCCTTCCGAAACTGGACATCAGTCTGCCTATACACTAGTCAAATGCATGGAATCTTGGCATATCAGGAGTATGTGGGAATGTGGAATTGAGGCCACACTCAGATCAGCCATGGTCTTATCAAAGGGTGTAGCAGATTGGAGTGGCAGAATAGCCTACTCTGTTCCTAATTCATATGCTGTTATGTTAAATAGGTCATAGAATCTTTGTATAGTGGAGATTTGATAGGCAAATTGTATTTATACGGCATAATCATTCAGAATCACTGGACGTCCCAAAGCACTTTATTATCAATTAAATGCTTTTTTAAAATGTGTTCACTGTTGTTATGAAGGGAACTTCCATAAACAGCAATGTACTGATGACCAAACAATCAGTTTGTTACTGCTGCTGACTGTAGGACAAATATTGGTTGGGGCACGGGGCTAACTCCTCTACTGTTCAAGACAAATGGCCACATGGGATCATTTATTTTCACCCAAAAGGGAAGTCAGGGCCTTGGTTTTAAAATCCCATCCAATTGACAACATCTCCAACAGCATAGCACAGCCTCACTACTACAATGGACTGCCAGCATTGATCTTTGTGGGTGTGCTCTGAAATAGGATTTGAACCCATAATTTTTTAACTGAGGCAAGAATACTACTGAGTCTCAGCTGTCAACAACATTGAGAAGGTACCTGAAGTCTCCCCACATGGATTGTAGTTGTTTACACTGAGATCATTCAAATTACCAACTCTTCCACCTGTTGAGCACAGTTTAAATGGGCTGCATTGTATTAGCAGGCTTGAGGAGCAGTTATGTACTTGTGGAAATGTTAAGCTAACTGCGCACAACGTGTTAAAATGCAATATCACATTAAATGCTTAAAAAGTTGTAATTGTCAGAAATTGGGGTCAAAATAAAGAGAGACCTGGCATTGCAGCTCAGACCAAGGATGAATTGGTGAAAAGGTGCAAACTTCAAATGTGACTAACAATTATTCTTTCACATATAAAAACCAATTTATTATCAAGGTAGAATCCAGATTTGAACAGGGATATCAAAATACTTTGGTACTTGTGGATTTTGGTTCTTGGGGGTCCTGTGCTTGTGGTAAAATTGTTAAAATTTAAAGATTCCCATTCTGGTGTCTGATGTCATGAAACCAGTTGCTGTGAGAGCTATGGATATTTTCAGAAAGCACTTTTAACATCACAAAAATAATAACAACCAACCAAATGAAACTAGGTTGAATGCTGCATGGATATAATTTTATACAGGGTAAAAACACTTAGGATTTGGAAGGCAAATAGGGAAATTCTCCATTTAGAACAGGAATTGGGGCTCTTTTAATTGCAAACGACTGCCTCAAATTAGCAAATGTCACTGCAAAGTAGTAATCGTAAAAATTAATTTGGCAGTTTCCACCAGAAAATATCCTGAATTCTTTTCAAGTGATGAATTGGCAAAAAAAACTCTTCTTTTTTGTCAGTGCAGACTGTATTGTATGAAACTATGACTCTAGGACATTCTTTAATTTTACACAAGGCAAGATTCTGACTCATTGCACTATGCATAATCTCCAGAAACTTCTAGCCTTTCACCATCATTGTAAAGTGTAAGGAGGAGAAAATAAGCATAGGTTCTTCATTCAAAAGTAAATTATAAGGAACATCTAAAATTTAAGTGAAGATCTGATTGTGAGTCCTATTGACAAATGGTGTCAATGAATTGTGTAATAATTATCAGTTGTCATTTCTTTTTCTCATTTCTTGAGTAGGAATGGCATTGAAGTTATTTTACCCAAGCTATTTCTCCTACATATTCCTTACTTTGAATTTTGTTGAGTTATATACTTCATGAGAGTTTTTAAGTTGGAATCAATGCTGCCATTGATAATCCTTTTTAGATGAATGTTCACACATGATTTAACTCAAGAGGCTTAAGTAACATCAAATTCTTCAGCATGCAACGAGTGCCATTATCCTCATGACTTCCTCATTGTATTTTTACTTATTGTCTTCAGTATCTAACAGTTTTTGCAGGAAACTGAAAAGTGGGAGTATGTTGTGCAACAGCGGGAGTTGTATTGTCCACAAGAGAAGCCAAAATATAATATTGCGCCTAACAGCTGGACAATGTGATATTGCTGTGGATGTTCTAAAGGCTTAATAATGCAAATGCTTATTTATATGTAGGTTTATTTTCTTTTTTGGCAATTGTTTATTTATTGGCAGGTGTTGTAGATTTGGATCTGTTGATTAATAGCTGTCAAAATTTCTTTCATCTTATCCTCCAGGCCATCCAGCTGACGGGCCTTTTCCTCCAGAACCTGTTCATTCGCTTCATATTGATCCTCAAGATCTGTCAGGTAGGAGAACATTCATTCATTAGTTATGAAAATAAAACATCTTGCATTTATAGGTCACCTTCAATAACAAGAACTTCATTAAAGTCTTATTTATTGTCCTATAATCCATAGGAGAGTTTAGGGCCAAGGCAGCTGAAGGCATGGCCACCAAAAGTGGAGTGATTGAAATCAATGATACTGAAGAGGCCAGAATTGGAGAAGTGCAGAGATCATGCAGGTTTTTAGAGCTGGAGGAGGTTGCAGAAGTAGAGGGAGTGTAGCCACGGATCGGTTTAAAACAAGAATGAGAATTTTAAAAATCAAATTGTTGTCAGACCAAGAGGCAATTCAGATCAGTGAGCCCAGACGATGAAGCTGTAAACTGCATCTTATAATGAGTAAAATAAGAAATTGCTGGTAAAATCACTGACCTGCTGAATGGTTGCACTATTTTTCAGTTTTTAATTCATTTCCAGCTTCTGGAGTATTTGTTTTTGTTTGAACCTAATAATAATTGTACATGAATGCCTGACTGGGCGTTGTCAGATCTTATACTGTTATGGTTGGTTGTGAAGAGGAAACTACAAAAATTACACAAGGAAGAAAGGAATGGAAGACTGTGCTGATAGGGAGAGATGAAATATAGTCTAGGCACTATTGTGTGAAATACAACCATCGGTATTTTTATAGTTAGAGTAGATCACCTGTTTTCTGCAGCACCTTGCTGTGCACAAGTAATTTAAGACAGAGTTGGGATAATGGAGGCATTTTCAGGATGGCAACGTGTAACTAGTGCAGTGTCACAGGAATCAGTTCTGGGGTCACAATTATTTACTATATATGAATAACTTGGATAAGGGATGACACAAAAATGGGTGGAAGGCAAATGATGAGCATTATACAATGTCGCCAGAGGGATACAGACAGGTTGAGTGAGAAGGAAAAACCTAGATAATTGGACTATGATGTGGGGAAATGTGAGGTTATTCACTTTGGCAGGAACAACAGAGGAGCTGAATATTATTTAAATGGAGAAAGACTGCAAAAAGCTGCAGCACTGAAGGATTTGGGACCCCTAGTGCATGAATGACAAAAAGCTAGCATACAAATTCAGCAGGTGGTAGGGAAGGCAAATGGAATGTTGGCCTTTATTTCAAAAGGAATGGAATATAAAAGTAGAGACATCTTGCTAAAATTAAACAACACACTAGTTAGACTACACCCTGAATACTGTGACCAGTTTTGGTAAGTTATTGAAAGAAAGGTATATTGGCACAGCAGAAAAGGTTCAAAGTGGTTGATCCTGGGTATGGAAGGAAAAGGTTGGTGGTTGAGACTGTACTCAATGGAATTTAGAAGGTATTAAGGGGATTTGTCAGGATTGATGTAGTAAGGTTTGTTTCCCTTTGTGGGAGAATCTAGGGCCAGAGGGCATCATCTCAGAACAAGGGGTCACCAATTTAAGACCTAGTTGAAGAGGAATTTCTTCTCTCAGAGGGAAGTGTATCTGTGGGATTCTTTACCATGGAAGGCTGTTGAGGTTGGGTCATTAAATATATTCAAGACTGAGATAGACTGATTTTTAATCAGGAAGGGAATCAAGGGCGAGAGGGCTAAAGCAATAAAATGGAGTTGAGAACTATCAGAACAGACCGAATGGGCCAAATGGCCTACATCTGCTTCTACATCTTATGGCAATTTGTTTGCTGAATGTCTGACATTTCAGCAGTACTGCACCTTGGGGTTAAGAAAGGTGCTACACAAAAACAAACCTTTCTTCCTCTTTTTCTGATTCTCTGACCAAGTCTGGTCAAAAATGTGTAATTTTTATGACAGAAACCCACCACATCATACTTGACAATGGAATATTTTCTTCTGAAGTTAACTTTGAGAGAAATGTCACACATGTATCTTGGCAAGTCTGCTTTGAAAATTCTCCATGTAGTATCTCACCGTTCAATCTCTCCAGCTTGTCTTGTGCATCTCTCAGGAGCTGCTTGGCTTCATCTCGAAGGCTCTCTGCTTTGTGTTTAGCATCAAAAACTGTGCCACTCTTTCGATCTATAAGACCGCGCACAATTTTATATTTATCAGAGAGCTGTCCTTCCAACATCTGGAAACAAAAAAATGTACCAATGTATAAAGATGTGAACTTGATGGGCAGGAAAAGACCTGCTGAATCATACAAGTGGCCTACAACTATGGAGTATCAAAATTGAATATTTTCTTTGTGTGTCTGTGTGAAACAGGTGACAGTGAAGTCATAGCCCATTTTACATCTGTCTTCATTTCAATTTAATTTATATTGAAGTCACAGGAGGGATGATTCAATTTCACATTATCTGGAAATCCAAATAGATCACATCCACTGGCTCACCATTGTCTAACTTGCTCGTTACTGCCTCAAAGAGTTCTAATAAACTTGTCAGGCATGGCCTCCTCTTGACAAAGCCATACTGACTCATCTTATTTTACCATGTACTCTGAAATCTCATCCTTAATAATGGACTCTAAAATCTTACCAATGACCAGGGTCAGGCTAACTGGCCTTCAGCTTCCTGTCTTCTGCTTCTCTCTCCTCTTAAATGGGGGTATTAAATTAACCATTTTCCAGTACAGTCTACATCCATCAAAAGCTTCAACACCACAATAAACACAAAGTACAAATCAGTTTCAGCTCAAGTCCATCTTTCATTCCTGAGATGATCACTCCTCATAATCCCAGCAAAGTTCTAATATCCTGGAAGGTACATTGGTAAGGTTTGTAGGCAAAATTGATTGGTGCACTGTTCAGTCTCAGGTTATCTTCAATATGAAATGCAAATTGGATCAGTAATTATGTGCAATTTAAAAATTGTCAGGGAAGAAAGTGGAGCAGCAATGGTAGGAGTTTCTGGGGTAATTTGGGAGGCACAGCAGGAATTCATCCTGAAGAAGAAATATACTAAGGGGAAGATGAGGCAACGATGGCTGACAAGGGAAGTCAGGGACACCATAAAAGCAAAAGAAAAAGCACACAAGTGATGAAGATTAGTGCGAAGAGGCCTGGAAAGCCTTTAAAAACCAGCATGGGATAAGTAAAAAGTCAATAAAGGGAGAGAAGATGAAATCTGAGAGTAAGCTAGCTCATAATACAAAAGAAGATTGCAACAGCTTGTTTTTTAGAAATCGAAGAGGTAAGAGAGAGGCAAAAGTGAACATTGGACTGCTGGAAAATGCGGTTGGAAAAGTAGTAATGAGGAACAAAGAAATTGCGGAAGAACTGAATCAGTACCTTGTATCAGTTTTCATAGTGGAAGACACCAGCTGCACACCAGAACTTCAAGAGAGTCAAGGGACAGAGGTGAGTGTAGTGACCATCAGTAAAGAGAAGGTCATGGGGAAGCTGAAATGTCTGAAGGAGGATAAGTCATCTGGACCAGCTGGACTACACCCTAGAGTTTTGAAGGAGATAGCTGAGGAGATTGTAGAAGCATTGGGGTGATCTTTCAGGAATCACTGGAGTCAGGAAGGGTCCCCAATTACTGGAAAATGGCTAATGTAATGACCCTGTTTAAGAGGAGAGAGAGGCAGAAGACAGGAAACGTAGGCCAGTTGGCCTGACCTTGGTCATTGGTAAGATTTTAGAGTAAGATTATTAAGTAGTAAGATTATTAAGGATCAGATTGCAAAGTGCATGGTAAAATAAGATGAGTCAGCACAGCCTTCCAGAAGGCCTTTGACCAGGTGCCATGCAGGAGGCTGCTAAATAATATAAGAGCCTGTGGTGTTAGGGGCAAGGTATTGGCATGGATAGAAGATTGGCAGACTGGCAGAAGGCATGGAGTAGGGATAAAGAGGTCTTTTTCAGGATGGCAGCAGTGACTAGTGGAGTTCCATAGGGATCAGTATTGGGACCACAACTATTCATTTTATACACTAATGATCCAGAAGAAGGAAATGAGGACATTGTAGCTAAGTCTGCAGGTGGACAGACAGATAGTGTTGAGGGAGGCTGCAGACAGACTTGGATGTGTTAGGCAAGTGGGCAAAGAAGTGGCAGATAGAATACAGTGTGGGAAAGTGTGAGGTTTTGCACTTTTGTAGGAAGAATAGAGGTACAGACTATTTTCTAAATGTGAAAAGGTTTTGGAAATCTGAAGCACAAAGGGACTTGAGAGTCCCAGTTCAGGATTCTCTAAAAGTTGACCTGCAGGTTCAGTTGGCAGTTAGGAAGTGCAATGCAACATTATTTTCAAAGGGCTAGAATACAAGAGTAGAGATGCAGTGCTGAGGCTGTATAAGGCTCTCGTCAGACAGCATTTGGAATATTGTGAGCAGTTTTGGGTCGCATATCTAAAGGAAGGATGTGCTATGGTTATGGTCAAGAGGAGGTTCACAAGAATGATCCTGGAAATGATTGGCTTGTCATATGAGGTGTGGTTGAGGACTCTGGGTATGTACTCAATGGAGTTCGGAAGGATGACAGGGGATTTGATTGAAACTTACAGAATACTGAGAGGCCTGGATAGAGTGGACATGGAGAAGATGTTTCCACTAGCAGGAGAAACTAGAACCTGAGGGTACAGCCTCAGAGTGAAGGCATGATCTTTTAGATCTGAGATGAGGAGGAATTTCTTCAGCAAGAGGGTGGTTAATCTGTGGAACTCATTGCTGCAGAGGGCTGTGGAGGCCAAGTCATTGAGAGTATTTAAGACAGAGATAGATGTGTTCTTGATTGGTAAGGTGATCAAGAGTTATGGGGAGAAGACAGAAGAGTGGTGTTGAGAAATGTATCAGTCAGGATCAAATGGCAGAGTAGATACAATGGTTCAAATGGCTTAATTCTGATCCTGTGTCTTATGGCCCCCTGATGTCCCACTCTCCTCTCACAGTCTGCAATTTTAATCTGCTCTTCTGAACAGGTTATAGAAGCACATATAGGACATAAGGAGGCAGTTCCTGTGCAGGCTTTTAGAAAGAGCTATCCACGTAATCCCACTTTCTGCAACTGTGGTTGTCTTTACCATCCATCCACATCATAAACGTTTAAGAATTTCACTCTTCAGCTGTACCTGTTTGGCTTCGTTGGCTTTATCTCGTGCCACTGAAGCAGTTTCTTCTGCCCGCAATGCCACCAGGCTGTTGTTGGCTCGTTTCATTTTTAATGCATCGATTCTGTTGTCAAGCTGTGCTAGTCTGTCCATGGCCTTCATCAACTCTCTCTCCGCACTCACAGTTTCACTCCGTATCTAAAAATGAGAGAGGCAGAGTACTTTCTATCACTAGAACTAGGGCCACATGGGTCATAATGTTCTGTAGCTTATCAGTTGAAACAGGAAAGGATAGCAGTGAACATTACCGCTTGGCTAAATTGACTGCAAACCTGTCAACCTGGCAAACATGAATTAATCATTTCATGGAGCAGACACAATTAGATACAAAACCTGAGGGCGGTCATACCAACAGTGGTAAAATGTTTTAATTCTCAAGTACTTTTAAATAAATGCTTTGAACTAAGGGGCAACATGAGGCAGAGATTGGAAATGATTTGGACGTGAACATGGAAGGTATAGTTAGTAAATTTGGAAGTAATGAAGGTTACCTCAGAGTACAACGGGATCTTGATCAGATGGGCCCATGGAGTGGCAGATGGAGTTTAATTTAGATAAATGTGAATTGCTGCATTTTGGAAAGGCAAATCAGGGCAGGACTTATACACTTAATGGGAAGGTCCTGGGGAGGGTTGCTGAACGAAGAGACCTTGGAGTACGGGTTCATAGTTCCTTGAAAGTGGAGTCATGGGTAGACAGGATAGTGAAGGAGGTGTTTGGCATGTTAGCCTTCATTGGTCAGTGCATTGAGTATAGGAGATGGGACATCATGTTGCATCTATACAGGACATTAGTTGGGCCATTATTGGAATATTGCGTCCAATTCTGGTCTCCCTGCTATAGGAAGGATGTTGTGAAACTTGAAAGTTTCACTCAGTAAAGATTTACAAAGATGTTGGCAGGGTTGGAGGGTTTGAGCTATAGGGAGAGGCCGAATACACTGGGGACATTTTTCCCTGGAGTGTTGGAGGCTGAGGGGTGATCTTATAGAGGTTTATAAAATCATGAGGAGCATAGATGGGGTAATTAGACAAGGTTTTTCCCTGGGGTGGGGGAGTCCAAAACTAGAGGGCATAGGTTTAAGGTGAGAGGGGAAAGATTTAAAAGGGACCTAAGGAGCAACTTTTTCATGCAGAGGATGGTGCATGTATGGAATGAACTGCCAGAGGAAGTGGTGGAGGCTGGTACAATTACAATGTTAAAAGCCATCTGGTTGAGTATATGAATAGGAAGTGTTTAGAGGGATATGGGCCAAATGATGGCAAATGGGACCAGAGTTATTTAGGATATCTGGTCAGCATGGACGATTTTAACTGAGGGTCTGTTTCTGTGTTACCCCTGAAATGTCAAGTGGAGGGGGCCAAGTTTCAGTAGGTTGGAGAAGGGATTTCTGCCCTTCAGCAACAGGAATGGGCCTTCGTCTGCCATTGGTGAAGTAGTGGGGACAGAGACAGAATAAAGCCCCTAGGTACCATTAGGTGATTTAAAGGCTTCAATAGGCTCCCATAACCCATAACTGCTCCTGTAGCATTCTAGCAATTTCTTACAGGTTGGGGGAAGGTGAGGAAACAGCAGAGAGGCCAGGTATTGGAGTTTAAGATTCCTGAGATAACAAGATGTAGAGCTGGATAAACACAGCAGGCCAAGCAGCATCAGAGGAGCAGGAAAACTGACGTTTCGGGCCTAGACCCTTCTTCAGAAAAATGATTCCTGTCGCCTTAGGGGAAGTGCGGTTGGTAAAATCTGGCTCAGAGTCTTAGTAACCGTTTAGAGTGAAACCAGGAAGCGCACAATGGGCTGATGACATTTTAAAACAGTCTTCTCTAAAGGCCGTGGGTTCTGGCCGCCAATGAAGACTTCAAGATAAAGATTAATCGATTTTTTTTTTTTATTGGGCAAAACTATCAAGGGATATGAAGCAAACATATCTAAATGACAAAGCAGTCCTGAGGAGCTGAACAGCCTCTTCCCATTCTTTCAGAACAGGCTTGATGGGACAAATGGCCTCTTCCTGTATCTGTGTTTTGTATTTAAGTTCAAAGGAGTTAAAAAGGGAGAAAATTAGTTGGAAAAGATCCCAGGATTGAACATTCTTTCCTTACCCCATTTAGGGTCTGATCGGTCTCTTCTATGTCTCCCTTTGCACGGCTGATTGCACTTTGTGCAGCATGCTGAGCTTGGCTAGCCTCCTCTAGGGCTTGCTTCACTGCCTCGGCTGTGTTTTTAACATTTTCTGCACGGCTCCTTCACAGTTAAAGAAAATTAAAAGTACACTTAAGGTCCCTTGCAAATGAACAAAGCCAGTGTCCAGTGTTTATTAAATCAGATACAAGCGCCAGCATTCTGTGAATTCTGCAATTGCTTCAAAATACAGAGAGCACATGTTAAGGTGTGACAGAGTATGTGTGTCTGAGTGAGTGTGATTGTGTGTATAATTGTATGGATTGAACGTTGAGAATTTTTAGGATTATGTATGTGAAAAAACACATGTGTGTTTGCGAGATTGAGACAGTAATTTTTTCATTAATCAAATGTGGACATTGCTGAATTAATTCCCTGTTACTAATGGCCCTTGAGAAGATGGCGGTGAGTTACCTTCTTCAACCAATGCTCTCTGTATGGCAAAGGTACACCCACGGTGCTATGAGGGAGAGTGTTGCAGGACTTTAATAAATGAAGGTGGAAGAATGCCAATATATTTCTAATTCAGGAATGTGAGAGACTTGGGTGGGAATTTGTAAGTGATTGTGTTCCCAAGTGCTTGTTGCTCTTTCCTTCGAGGTGGCAGAGGACACAGGTTTGGAAGATGTAAATACCTTGTATTTTTTTTTTGTTGTTTAAAATTGTGGACTGAAATGGGAGAGAGCAATTTCAAAAGCCAAGGTTTCTGCATGATTTGGAATGAAGTAATTTGATCTCAACACTGTGTGTAGCTGTGGGTTAAGGTAGTGTTTGCAGATGAACTGGAGCCCGGGTTGATTATACAAACGGAGCTCTGGTTGGCTACAAGAACTCTATGGACCAGTGACCAGTTTCTTTATTCATTCAGGGATGAGGGCATTGCTGGTCAGGCAGCATTTATTGCCCATAGGACAGTTCAGAGTCAACCACATTACTGTGGGTCTGGAATCACATGTAGACCAGGTAAGGATGGCAGTTTCCTTCCCTAAAGGACATTAGTGAACCAGATGGGTTTTTCCGTCAATCGGCAATGGCTTCATGGTCATCATTAGATTCTTAATTCCAGATATTTTATTGAATTCAAATTCTACCATCTGCTATGCCAGGATTCGAAACCAGGTCCCCAGAACATTATCTGGGTCTCTGGATTAACAGTCCAGTGATAACACCACTAGGCCATCGCCTCCCCAGTTATCAATGACAAAGGCTTTTTGCCAGTCAATAACTATATGATTGGTTGTCAGGGAACTGAACAGCTTGAGACGAGGAACAAGATACAACAAGAAATGATCAGATCTCCACCAACTCAGGAACTGTTGTTGTTCCCTATAGTAAATCTCATTAAACCTGAAGAAAACCAGTTTATCTTTTCTTCAGCAGTTGCTGTAATCTGTGACTTTTAATTGATAAGTCAGAGACAGTTATAAGTGAACCAGCCATGCTATGTGTTTTGCAAACTGAAGGAAGCATTTGAAAAAGGTGAGAAGAAACCTTATCATCAGCAAGGACCAACTCAACAGATCTGTGAACAAGGACTACTGAACTGTGTTCCCAATGTTACACTCCGTCCATCCGTTTTTCTCTCTATCCACGTCTGCCTGTGCATGAAGTGGGGAATTTACAAGGGGATTAGAGTTTTAGTTAGAAGAATAATGCGCTAACGGCTTTTAACTGTTTACCAGCAGCTGATTCTAATTACTTGTAATAAACAGTAATGCTTGTTAAATACAGAAACCTGTTCTGTGCTTTCTGTTAACCTGGATCTGACAAATAGGTAAATTAGGGGATTTTGTGTACTTTTTAAAAAAATCTTTAATTTTTGGAATAGCGAGGTTTGATTTAATCCATTGCATTAGACCAGTGGTTAAATGTTAAAGGTAGCCTAGTGAGTGGCTACAGTGTAGCTTGTAACTGGTACATACTGCTACCAAGTGTGCATCAGTGGTGGCGAGACCAAATGTTTAAGTTGGTAGATGGCACATGGGCATTTTTGACCTAGATGGAGCTTCTTGAGTGTTGTTGGAGTCACATTCATCCAGCCAAGTGGAGAATATTTTACCAAACTTCTTACTAGTGAATTGCAGAATGGGGGGATGGGGCTATGGTGGGTGGCCCTGGGGAGTCAGGTAGTGAGTTAATCACTGCTGCATAATTAGTCTTTAACTTGTTCTTGTAGCCACTGCATTTATGTCTCGTTTGATATCTGGTGGCCCCCACGAGGTTGAGGGTGGGAAATTTGGCAATGGTAATGCCATTGAATGCTATTAGAATAGTTAAGCTCTTTCCACTTGGCAGTGGTCATTGCCCCAGTCTTACACAGTATGAATGTAATTTGCCAGTTATGAACCCAAGCCTGGATATTGTCCAGATCTTGCTGCATATGGAGATGGACTGATTCAGTATTAGTGCTACTTCAGTCCTAGGGAAGCAGTGGCATTGTGGTAACGTCTCTGGACCAGTAATCCAGAACATTTGATTAATGTCCAGGGACATGGGTTCAAATCTCACCATGGCAGATGGTGTAATTTGAATTCAATAAAAAAAAACCCAATGTCGACCATGTAACCAGACTTTACTGTAAAAATCCATCTAGTTCACTAATGTTCTTTAGGAAAGAAAATCTGCCGTCCTGACCTATGTGTGACTCCAGACCCACAGCAATGTGGTTGACTCTTAACAGCCCTCTGAGCATTAGGGATGGGCATTAAATGTTGCCCAAGCCAGTGATACCCTCATCCCATAAATGATTAATAAAAAGTATCTGAGAAGTCACGAAAGATGCTAAACATTGTGCAATCATCCATGAACATCCCCACTTCTGACCTTATGATGGAGGGAAGGTCATTGATGAAGCAGCTGAAGATGGTTGGGCCGAGGACACTACCCTGAGGAACTCCTGCAGAGATGTCCTGGAGCTGAGATGATAGACTTCCAACAACTATGACCATCTCTGTGCTAGGTGTGACACTGACCAGTAGTAAGATTCTGCCCACCCCACTGATTCCCATTGACTTTGATCCTACTGAGGCTTTTTTATACTATGCTCAGTTAAACATTGCCGTCAACCTCAAGACAGTCATTCTCACCACAGGAGGATTTATGTGCATGGATACATGAATATCTGTGTGCTAATGAATGTGGGTGCGTCTGAGTGTGGAGGCCTGGAGGTGCGTGTACACATTGATATACTCAAACGGTCATGTGTGTGCATGTGGAAGGCAGTGTGGTAGGAAAAGAAAAGGATCGGAAGAATTTTGCACTATCTCACTCTGGGCCAGGAGCTCATATACTACAACTGGAATTGAAAGCCATTTCCAGTAAAATTACAGCTGTTTTTCCCAAGTTGCATGTAGCAGAAGCAGTCAGTGCCATGAATGTACCTTGCCCTTCTTGCATCCTGAAGGAGCTGTTCTGCTTTCCTCACATCATCGGCAGTCTGATCCAAGATGGTGTCCACGTTAGACAAACTACTGACCTTGTCTTTGATCTCCTCTGCAAGGTGACGGATTTGCTGAGGGGAAGCAGGAATTGAGAGCTCCAGAACCCGACTGGCCACCATCTCAATGCTGTCGGGGTCTGCACCCTCCTCTGTATGGAGATGGGTTAAAAAGAACACAGAATATCGGTCTCAATTACTTTATGGTCTTTCATTGCAGTGCATTACTGACGACTATCCCAAATTCATTTTTTGTTTGTCAACATTCTCATATGGCATGGATAGAGCATTGGTTGACCAGTAGAAAGCAAAAAGTAGGGGTAAATGGGTGTTTTTCTGGTTGGCGGTCAGTGGCTAGTGGTGTGCCTCAGGGATCAGGGTTGGGACCGCAATTGTTTACAATTTACATAGATGATTTGGAGTTGGGGACTAAGTGTGGTGTGTCAAAATTTGCAGATGACACTAAGGTGAGTGGGAGAGCAAAGTGTGCAGAAGACACTGAAAGTCTGCAGAGGGATACAGATAGTCTAAGTGAGCGGGCAAAGGTCTGGCAGATGGAGTACAATGTTGATCAGTGTGAGGTCATCCATTTTGGTAGGAATAACAAGAAAATGGACTATGTTTTAAATGGTAAAAAATTGCAGCACGCTGCTGTGCAGAGGGACTTGGGTGTCCTTGTGCATGAATCGCTAAAAGTAGGATTGCAGGTGCAGCAGGTAATTAAAAAGGCAAATGGAATTTTGTCTGCCATTGCTCGAGGGATGGAGTTTAAAAACAGGGAGGCTATGCTGCAGCTGTATAGGAACCTGGTGAGGCCACACCTGGAGTACTGTGTGCAGTTTTGGTCTCCTTACTTGAGAGGAGATATACTAGCACCGGAGGGGGTGCAGAGGAGATTCACTCGGTTGATTCCAGAGTTGAGAGGGTTGGATTATGAGGACAGACTGAGTAGACTGGGATTATACTCATTGGAATTCAGAAGAATGAGGGGAGATCTTATAGAAACATATAAGATTATGAAGGGAATAGATAAGGTGGAGGCAGGGAGGTTGTTTCCGCCAGCAGGTGAAACTAGGACTAGAGGGCATTGCCTCAAAATAAAGGGAAGCAGATGTAGGACTGAGGTCAGGAGGAACTTCTTCACCCAAAGGGTTGTGAATCTGTGGAATTCCCTGCCCAGTGAAGTGGTTGAAGCTACCTCGCTGAATGTTTTTAAGGCAAGGCTAGATAAATTTTTGAACAGTAAAGGAATTAAGGGTTATGGTGAGTGGGCGGGTAAGTGGAGCTGAGTCTCAAAAAGATCAGCCATGATCTTATTAAATGGCGGGGCAGGCTCGAGGGGCTGGATGGCCTACTCCTGCTCCTAGTTCTTATGTTCTTATTGAGATAATGACTGGATAGGCTGGGTTTATTTTCCCCAGAGCAGAGGAGACTGAGGGGAGATCTGATTAACATGTACAACATTATGAAAGGCATAGACAGAGTAGATTAGAAAATTTCTCCCCCCATGGCAGACATGTCCAAGACCAGAGTGCATAGGTTTAAGGTGAGAACTAAGTAGTTTAGAAGATTTCTGAGAAATTCTTTTTTCACCCAGAGGATGGTAGAAATATAGAACGTGCTGCTATTCTCAACATTTAAGAAGCATCTGGATGGGCACTTAAAATGCCAGGGTATAGTCGGCTATGGACCAGGTGCAGGTAAATGGGATTAGTGTAGTATGGTGTTTGTTGGGTCAGTATAGACACAGTGGGTTGAACAGCCTGCTATTATGCTGTATGACCCTATATATCTCTAATATTGGCAAAACTATCGAGCTATCATTGACTATTTCTAATCATCCTGAGAATATTGAACCATGTAGTTGGAACAATTTGGATTGGAATCAGACTAGTTAGGGATGGCAGATTCTCTACCTCCCCTATAGGAGTGTAAATGAAGCAGCCTTTGATCAGTGGCCATTCTAAAGTTTAACTTGTCCTGTGCTGAGAGTCTGCATTGCAGTACAGCTCACTATGGCTATAAAGCAACTTCACATTTTATGAATGGTAGATCATAACCATGGCCATGACCATTTATTGCTCGACTCTTACGTGTAAGGAAGTCTCGGATCTGCTTTATGAGGTCACGCAGTTCTTTGTTTGAGCGATTAATTCGGTCCTTGGCATCATTTGCTTTGTCCAAAGTCACCTGAGCTTTCTGCTTTGCTTCATTTGCCTTTACCTTAGCCAGAGCAACCTGCAAATACAAACCAAACCAGTGAGCAATCTGCAAATATTAACAAAAAGCAACCCACGAATATGAAAATAATAGAATAGTACAAAACAGGAGGCTATTCAGCCCATGTGCCTAGACTGAAAATAAATAACCTAATGACAAACTACAGTTGACATGTGGGCTCTGTAGTGATTGTAATGAAGTCAGCCATCTGGACCTCAGAAAATGAGTTCCCTGATTGGGGCTGTTAATCTGGTCCAAACAAGGATCCCTGGCTGATAGATAAAAAGGAGAGTGTCAGAGATACTGCCACTCTGATAGCTGCCTCTGAAGAGGCAGTACTAGAGTTAAGGACTGTTTATGTGTAAATAAAGAGTGACTTGGTGATGGGGATCATCATGTTGAGGTGCCGGTGTTGGACTGGGGTGGACAAGGTCAGGAATCACACAACACCAGGTTATAGTCCAATAGGTTTATTTGAAAACACAAGCTTTCAGAGCGTAGCCCCTTCATCAGGTAAAATGAGAAAGAAGTACACAACACAGAATTCATAAATAAAAGATCAAAGGGTCACACAACTGATGAGGATGTATTAAACAAATCCTAGGATGCTGTTGAATCTTTAATTGGTTAGAAGGTTTTAATTGCTTAATATGTATATGTAAATCCCCAAATTTCTTTCAAGTCACTGCCCTGAGAGAACTAAAGATTTTATCTCTCTACCGTAAGCCCACGGATAACCTCACGATGCTGCACTTCTCTAGTTTCCACCCTAAACATGTTAAAACAACCATCCCCCACGGACAAGCCCTATGCATACACTGGATCTGTTTGGATGGGGACGAATGCGACTAACATTCATAGGTATTGAAGGACACCGTCACAGGAACAGAATATGATGCTCAGCTAATTGATGGCCAGTTCTGAAGTGCCACAGCAAAAAACCATAATGACCTCCTCAGAAAACAAACACGTGATACAATCGATAGGGTACGCTTCATCATCCAGTACTTCCTGGGAGCAGACAAACTACGCCATGTTCTTCACAGCCTCAAACACTTTATCGATGATGATGAGTATTTCACCAAGATCCTCCCCATACATCCCACTTCTCACCTTCAAACAACTGCCAAACCTTACACAGACCATTGTTTGCAGCAAACTACCCAGCCTTCAGGAGATCAACCGCAACACTAATACATCCCTATCATGGTAAACTCTGCAAGACATGTCAGATTTTCAACAAGGACACTACCATCACATGTGGGAACACCACCTACCACGTGCCCAGCAGATACTCATGTGACTTGGCCAACATTGTCTATCTCATATGTTGCAGGCAAGGATGCCCCGAGGCATGGTATATTGGTGAAACTGTGTAGACGCTATGACAACGGATGAATGGACACTGCGCAACAATCGCCAAACAGGGATGTTCCCTCCCAGTGGGGGAACACTTCAGTGGTCAAGGACACTCAGTCATGGATCTTCGTGTAAACGTCCTCGAAGGCAGGCTTCGGGATACACAATAAAGCGGAGTGTCCGAGCAGAGGCTGATAGCCAAGTTCGGTCCCCATGAGGACGGCCTCAATCGGGACTTTGGGTTCATGTCGCACTACAGGTGACCCCGTCACACTACACACTCATACACATACACACACACACACACACACACACACACACACACACACATTCACTCACTCACACATGCACACACAATCTATGCGGTGAATTTGTATTTGCAGATACATTCTATTTTGTTCAAAAAGTACACAATTTATAGACAGTCAATGTGGCATTTTTAAAATTCCTATTTTAGAAATGAAACCATTCTGACTCCAAACCAAAGCACAAACAGATTCTAAACAAGGCCTCACACCTAACATTCACTGTCTGATCTAAAATGTCACCTCTTCTTTACTTTGATAAAACCGTTAGTTCTCTCAGAACCATGACTTGAAAGGAATTTGGGGATTTACAAATACATATTAATCAATTAAAACCTTCTAAGTGATTAAAGATTTAACAGCATCTTAGGTTTGTTTAATATGTGCTCATCAATGATGTGACCCTTTGATCTTTTACTTCTAAATTTTGTGTTCTGTGTGCTTCTTTCTCACTTCGTGTGACGAAGGGGCTACGTTCCGAAAGCTTGTGTTTTCAAATAAACCTGTTGGACTATAACCTGGTGCCATGTGATTGGTGATTGGATACCAGCCTCTATGAAGTTATTTCAGTGGCGATGAGAATAGAGCACGATCCTGAAGAAAGTCACTCATATCAGTTGTCTTTGATTGGGGTAAGCATTTCTCACATCATGCCTTTGATTGGGAAACTTGATTGCCATCAAGGACTGGACCCAGTACATGGAAAGGATGCGGTTTTTTAATGGGCAAATGACATTGCAGCAGACGAATAGCAATGACTAATTCTCCTGTGGGGCTGCAGCTTTTTCTGTTATTAGGAGCCTGACTTTCCCTGAGGCACCAAATACTAAAAATCTTTCAAGAATTGACAGACATTATTCAGGAATGTTATAGTTGGTTGACTCGCCGAGCTGGTTTTTTGTTCCGCATTTGTTTCATTACCCTGCTGGGTAACATCATCAGTGCAGCCTCCGATGAAGCACCATTGTGTTTTCCCGTCTGGTATTTAAATTCTGGAGTCCATTGAGCTGGGTTACCTCACTTCCGGTTTTCCTTTGCAATGGAATGTATATGGGGTCTAGCTCTATGTGTTTATTGATGGCTTTCTTCGTGGAGAACCAGGCTTCTAGAAATAACCACAACATCCACAAACCAAGCTGCAAATCTACTCTAAAGCAACAGTTAAGGAATATTACAACCCCAAGCCTCCTGTAATTCTGAGATGCTATTGTTTTTACTCGGCAGTTCGAGAACCAGGGGAATCCGTATTGGGATGTGTGACTAGGTTAAGACACCGACAGAAGCCAGAGATAATAAGAACAGCCGATGCTGGAGTCAGAGATAACACAGTGTGGAGCTGGAGGAACACAACAGGCCAGGCAGCATCAGGGGAGCAGGAAAGTTGACGTTTCAGGTTGGGACCCTTCTTCAGAAATGACAGAAGCCAGTGACTTCAAAAATGCAGCAAGTTCAGCTCAAGAGTTGCAAAGTATTCCATTGGAAGTGGACACCCTCACCAGTCTGACTGAGCTTGGAGAACACAATTTGAGTGCAGGTAATTGCATAGCCTGATGTATCCTGATCAGAGGAACTCTAGGTCAGCCCACAGCAAACTCCAAAACAAAGCCAATCCTTGGCCAGTGTTTCTATCATCTTCAGGATCCTGGCCACAAGCCATTGTAGTTGCTGCCGGTATGTGGACTCAAGACAGCAAGAGGGTCCTACTCGTTCTCAGTTGAATAAGATAACTCATAGGCTGGTATCCAGGAGGGTATCTAGAAGAGTTCATACCCTGGAATGTCCACTTACATCTGATTTGGAACAGTCAAATTACTTAGCAACCTCCAAGTCAGAACCAAGCAAAATAAATATGGGTGGCACGGTGGCTCAGTGGTTAGCACTGCTGCCTCACAGCACCAGCGACCCGGTTCAATTCCACCCTCGGGCGACTGTCTGTGGGGAGTTTGCACATTGCCCCCGTGTCTGCGTGGGTTTCCTCTGGGTGCTCCAGTTTCCTCCCACAGTCCAAACATGTGCAGGGTAGGTAGATTGGCCATGCTAAATTGCCCGTAGTGTTCAGGGATGTGTAGATTAGGTGGGTTATAGGGGAATGGGTCTGGGTGGGATGCTCTGAGAGTCGGTGTTGAATTGTTGGGTTGAATGGCCTGTTTCCACACTGTAGGGATTCTTCAAAAAAAAAGTCTGGTTAAATAGTCATTGGTTCTAATTCAGGTCAATACCAGTGCAAACGTATCAGCGATTGCAGAAAGATCCAGTCCTTTCAAAACTGAAACAACTGGTGGTGATGGAGGAAATCAAAAGGCCATCACAACTAGAATTGACACCTTTTTGTACCTGGAGAGACCGGATCACAGTACAGTATGGCATATTATTATGGGGAGTCAGGGTGACTGTCACAAGCAAAGGTTGCTGCCTGATACTGGCTGAACTCCACCAGGGCCGTCCAGGCATCTCCAAAATGAAAATGTTTGCAAGAAGTTGTGTCTGGTGGCTAGGCCTGTATGCAAACAAAGCCATGTTGTTGGGGCAGTGCCCAGACTACTATCAAAGACAAAAATTACCACCAGCAGCTCCCCCACTTCCAAGGGAATAGCTGGGTAAACCTTGGACTCAGTTACATGTTGACTAGGCAGGTCTTTTCATGGGCTCAATGTTCTTAATCATTGTAGACATCTGCTCAAAGTGGCTGGATGTGCATAGGGTTCATTCGTCAAACATAGGGACGATGATAGAAAAACTGCATGAATCTTTTTCAGTACACAGCTCCCGGAAGCGTTGGTAACAGATAACGAGCTATCATTTACCAGCAGGGTATTTCCTAAAGTCAAATGGGATTCAACATTTAAAGATAGCTTTGTACTACCCATCGTCCAATGGCCTTGCAGAAAAAGCAGTCCAAACTTTGAAGGCTGGCTTGAAGAAACAACCTACAGCCTTGCAAGATAGCAAACTGTCACGGTTCTTATTTGATTATAGGACCACTCCTCATGCAACTACAGGAATAGTTCCAACAGAGTTGCTAATGGGGAGAAGACACACCAGGTTAAGTCTGATCTTCCTGGACCTGGGTTAGGAGGATGAAACAGCATCAAAAATGTCAATGCCAGGCACAAGACTATGCCAAGCGAGGGAGAGAGTTTTATACAGGGGACGAAGTTTGGTGTAAGAATCACAAAATGGCCCCACATGGGTGAGAGGCATGGTCAACGGGAGGTCAGAACCAGTGCCATATAAAGCTTAGGTAGGTAGAAAGTTTGGAAAGGCTGCTGGAACCCATGGGTTCACCCTCTCCATGAAGCATTGACGAGTCCTCAGAATCCGAAATGGATCGACGCCTTTGCCACCGGAAGAAGAGAGTGTAACTCTATCGATGATGAGAAGGTGCCAGTGTTGGACTGGCGTTGGCAAGGTCAGAAATCACATGACACCTGTCTAACAGGTTTATTTGAAAACACAATCTTTCAGAGTCTTCTTCAGGTGTTAGAGAGGCAGTATCAGTCACAGAATTTATAAGTAAAAGATCAAAGGGTCACACCATTGATGAGGATGTACTAAACAAACCTAAGATGCTGTTAAATCTTTAATCAGTTAGAAGGTTTTAATTGATTAATATGTAATTGTAAATCCCTAAATTCCTTATAAATCACTGTCCTGAGAGAACTAAATGTCTTATCAGTGTAAAGAAGAGGTGATTTCTTTAGTCATACGATGTATATTAGGTGTGAGTCCTTGTTTAGAATCTGTTTGTGTTTTGGTATGGAGTCAGACTGGTTTTGTTTCTAAAGTAGGAATCTATAAAATGCCACATTGACTGACTGTCTATAAATTGTGTGCTTTTTGAACAAAATAAAATGTATCTGCAAATACAGATTCACCCCCTAGATTCACGCATGTGTGTGTGTGTATATACGTGTGTGTGTGTGTTTCTGTGTACGCGTGTGTGTGTCTGTGTACGCGTGTGTGTCCGTATGTGTACGTGTGTGTACGTGTTCACGTGTGTGTTGTGTATGTGTGTTGTGTATATGTATGTGTGTATACGTGTGTGTGCACGTGTGCGTGTGCACGTGTGTGTGCACGTATGTGTGTGCATGTGTGTGAGAGAGAGAGAAAGTGTATAGTGTAATGGGGTCACCTGTGGTGCGACATGAACCCAAAATCCCGGTTGAGTCCATCCTCCTGGGTGCCGAACTTGGCTATCAGCCTGTGCTTGGCAACTCTGCATCATCGTGTATCCCAAAGTCCTCCTTCCAGGACGTTTACCCGAAGATCCATGGCCAAATATCCTTGACCACTGAAGTGTTTCCCCACTGGGAGGGAACATCCTTGTCTGGCAATTGTTGCGTAATGGCCTTCTGTTGTTGTTGGGTCTGCATGGTTTCACAATATACCATGCCGTGGGGCATCCTTACCTGCAGCGTATGTGATAGACAATATTGGCCAAGTCACATGAGTATCTGCCGTGTACATGGTGGGTGGTGTTCCCATGTGTGATGGTAGTATCCATGTCAATGATCTGACATGTCTCCCTCACTCTGACTAACACAGACGCAGAAACAGACACACACACACACCTGTGGGGTGAATTTGTATTTACAGATACATTCTATTTTGTCCAAAAATCACACAATTTATGGACAGTCAGTCAATGTGGCATTTTATAAATTCCTACTTTAGAAATAAAACCAGTCTGACACCAAACTAAAACACAAACAGATTCTGAATAAGGCCTCACACCTAACATGCATAGCCTAAACTGAAATGTCACCTCTTCTTTACACCGAAAAAAACATTAGTTCTCACGGGACAGGAACTTGAAAGGAATTTGGGGATTTATATATACATAGTAATCAATTAAAACCTTTAACTGATTAAAGATTTAACAGCGTCATAGGTTTGTTTAGTACATCCTCATCAATGATGTGACCCTTTGATCTTTTACTTATAAATTCAGTGTCTGATACTACCTCTCTCACTAACACCTGAAGGAGGAGTAAGACTGAAAGCTTGTGTTTTCAAATAAACCTGTTGGACTATAAACCTGGTGTCATGTGATTTCTGATCGAACTCTACCGAGGCATTTCTGGAATATGAGTTCCCTGATTGGTCCAGGTTAACAGCCCCAATCAGGGAGCTCTGGCTGACTGATTTAAAAATAAAGAGGGAGTATTAGAGATATTGACACTCTGATAGCTGACCCGGACTGAGGCAATACTAAAGTCACGGATTGTGACTTGGTGATGGGATATACTGGCCCTTGGACTTATTTCAGGCTGCAAGCTGATTAGGTCTTTGGAAGCACAGTGAGTGTCACTCTGACTAAAATAAAAACATAAATTGATCGAAGCTCAGGCTTTATCTTTGAAGAGAGCAACAACGTGGATGTTTTAAGTCATAGACTGAGAGAATATTCTCCAATTAAGAGTGTTGAGGCCAGGCCAAAATTGGTCCTCTGGCCTTATTATCATAATCGTAGTGATGTTCTCTGTCTCTTTCTTTTCCTGTCTGTCTGTCCCTTTGTGTCTCTCTCTGTCCCTCTTTGTCCCTCTCTGTCACCTCATGGCCTGGCCCATTCCAGACTTCGGCATTACCATCAGATTAATTCACGGTCAGTGGCAGGTGTAGAGAGTATGTCAGAAGCAGCCTCAAGCCTAAAATTAAGGTGCAAAGCCCACTTGGTTAGCAGGCCATCTGCCATGTTGAACATTTGCTTCCTTCACCACCACTCACAGTAGCAATGGTGTGTATAACCTACAAAGTGCACTGCAGCAACTTGCTATGTCTCCTTCAACCCCACCTTCCACATATGTGTCTTCTGAAATAAAAATAGCAAGTGCTGGAAAAGGTTGGGAAGCACCGGTGGATGGAGAAACTGAGTTAACCAGTTCACATTTCAAGTGCAGTATGACTCTTCTTCAGAATTTATGATCTCTAATTTGAAGAATGGGGTGGTAGTCACATGGGATAACACCACCTGTAGTTCCGCTCCAAGTCACACACCATCTGATTTGGAAACATATGGTCTGCGGCAGTTCAAGGAAGCAACTCACCATTACCTCCTCAAAAGGCAACTAGGGACAGGCAACAATCCAGCCAGTGATGCCCAAATCCCATCAGTGAATAAAAAAAATCACTTCATTCACTTTCATTGGTCAAAATCCTGGTCTCCTAACACCACATGGACTTCAGCTGATCACGAAGATGCCTTACCACTACTTTTCAAGGATTATGAGAGAGAGAAATTAAATGTTGGCTTGGCCAGTGACACTCATATCTCACGAGCAAATAAAACCTCTCTGAAGTCACCTCTGGTTAATTAAAAAAGGAAGTCTTTCGCAGCCTAAGTTTGTGGATTGTGTCCTTGCTCACCTTCTGAAATAGTTCCTCCACCTCACTCATTGCTCTCTGAAGCTCCTCTTCTGACTGTTGGGCTCGATCAAGAGAAGTATCAGCTACTGCAACTGCACCATTGCAGTTCAGACCCCCACAGTGCCTGGTTCCATCGTCTTCATAACATCCAGCTCCACCACATGGGCTGTCGACACATGGTAAATCTCCAGGAGCACCACACACCTGGAATGCACAATTAGTAGCAACAATTTTGTCAAAATTCTGAAAATGAATATGAGCACATTTCCACAGGTACTTAATCATAACCAAGAGCTATGCTTACAGTTCCTCAGGTCAGGACAGGTACGTTGTGAGACAAGTTGCTTCTAATTTAACTCATTAGACATGTATCTGCCTCTGAAACGGCTTCTCCTTAACCTAACCCCAAAGCTTCCATCAGCACTAGCCATAGAATTTCCTCAATACCTAAAAACTAAAAGAGTGTGAATTTTCCCAAACCGACACAGAAGTGAATCCCAAAATTTCCTAAAGGCAGTAAGAGAACTACATGGACTGCGGTGGTTCAAGAAGGCAACTCACCACCTTCTCAGGGACAACTAGGGACTGGCAATAAATGCTGACCCAGCCAGCGATGCCCAGGAGTGAATTAATAAAAAAGTGATTTATACAGAGGGAGAGAGCATAGCTGAGATTTAAAATGAATGTATATACGAAGGAGAAAGATGCTGTGAAGCTATGGAGAAAAAGGAGTTAATTCAGTCTCTAGAAGGATGTACAATTGATGATAATGAGGAGATATTTGGGTAGACTGTCTGTACTTAGTTGATATGCTGCCAGTACTGGATGAGGCACACCCAAGGATAGTGGTGGAAGTAAGAATAGAAATTGCAGAGGCACGGGCCAGAACCTTTTCGGCTTCCTTAGACTCAGGGGTTGTATCAGACGACTAGAGAATTAAAAACATTACACCCTTGTTCAAAAAAAGTTTTAAAAATATGCCCAGCAACTATGGCGGTGATAAATATCTAAGAATAATAACTCAGGACAAAATTATAGCAACATGGACAAACATGAGTTAATTGTTAACATGGATTTGTTAAGTAAATGAAATTTGACTAACTTGCCTATGTTGTTTTTTTGAAGCGGTAACAGAGAGTAATGCATTGGTGTGATATAAACCAGAGCCAGAGACAGAAATCAGAAACACCGTTCTGAAGAAGGGTCACTGGAGCAAAAACATTAACTTTGTTTTCTCTCCTCTCAAGATGCTGCCAGACCTGCTGAGTTTTTCCAGCAATTTCTGTTTTGCTTTCTGAGTTCCAGCATCTGCACCTCTTTGTTTTTTCAGAAATGGTTAATGGGTGTTTCTTCAGGCTGGAGGAAGGTTTGTGGTAGCGTTGCCCAGGGTTGAGTGTTGGGACAAAAACAGAAATTGCTGGAAAAGCTCAGCAGGTCTGGCAGCATCTGTGGAGAGAAATTAGGGTTAAAGTATCGGGTTGAGTGACCCTTCCTCGGAACTGATAGTAGCTGGGAAAATGTCGGTTTAAATGCAGAATGCAGTAGACTAGATAGTGTGAAGTGCAGGTAAAGTGCTGCTTCACCTGGAAGGTGTGTTTGGGCCCCTGCGTACTGAGGAGGGAGGAAGTGAATGGACAGGTATTACACCTTCTGCAGTTGGAAGTGATGGTGCCTTGAGGCTGTGGCAGGGTGTTGGCAGTGAAAGAAGAGTGGACCAGGGTGTCTTGGAAGGAATGGTCACTGTGGAAGGCTGACAAGGGAGGGGAGGGGAATATATGTCTGGTGGTGGCATCTCACTGGAGGTGGCCGAAATGGCAGCCAAAGATCCTCTGGATGTGGACTCTAGTGGGATTGTAGGTAAGGATAAGGGGAACACTATCACTGTTATGGTATGGAACAGAGGGAGTGAGGCTGAGGTGTGGGAGATGGTTCGGACCGGGCTAAGGGCCCTGTCAACAACGGTGCTGGGAATCCTCGGTTGAGGAAGAAGGTGGATATTTCGGAGGCTCCCTTGTCAAAGTTGGCCTCATTAGAACCTATGCAACGGAGACGGAGGAACTGGGAAAACGGAATAGAGTCTTTACAGGTTGCAGGGTGCGAGGATGTATAGTCCAGGTAGCTGTGGGAGTCAGTGGGTTTATTAGTGGATATTAGTGGCCAGTCTCTCTCCAGAAATGCAAACAGAGATGTCAAGGAAAGGAAGGGAGGACTCAGAGATAGACCAAGTGAAGGTGAGAGCAGGATGGAAATGAGAAAGCGATAAACTTTTCCAATTCCAGACAAGAGAGAGAAGCAGCACCGATGTTATCATCGATAAATCAGAGAAAGAGTTGTTGGAGGGGGGAGGTGTATGTGGTATAGCACTGGAACAAGGAATGTTCCACGTACCCCACGTAGAGACAGGCATAACTAGGGCCGAAGTAGGTACCCATGGCAACCCCTCTGACCTGAAGAAAATGAGAGGAGATAAAAGATAAATTATTCAGGGTGAGGATGAGCTCATCCAGGTGGAGGAGGCTGGTGGAGGATGGAGACGGTTCAGGCCTTTGCTCCAGGAAGAAGCGGAGAGCCCTGAGACCATCCTGTTGGCGGATGGATGTGTACAGGGATTGCACATCCATGGTAAAGAGGAGGCGGTTGGAGTCTGCAAACTAGAATTTCTGAAACTGGTGTAAAGCATCTGAGGAATCACGGATGTACATGGGCAGGGACTGGACCAGGGGAGAAAAGACCGAGTCAACGTAGGAAGAGATGAGTTCTGTGGGGCAGGAGCAGGCAGAAACAATGGGTCTGCCCAGACAGTCCTGTTTGTGAGTTTTGGGAAGGAAGTAGAAGCGAGCTGTGTGGGGCTGGGGAACTATCAGCTTGGAGGCAGTGGTGGTGGGAGAGACTGCCGAATGAAATGAGGTCAGTGACCATGGTTGACACAATAGCATGATGTTCCATTGTGGGGTCATGGTCCAGGGGGAGATAGGAGGAGATACCTAAGAGCTGGCGCTCAGCCTCTGCAATGTAGAGATGAGTATGCCAGACTGCAACAGCACCACCCTTATCTGCAGGCTTAATAACAACGTTAGGGTTACATATGAGAGCACAAAGTGCAGACAATTCCCAGGCGGATAAGTTGGAATGGATAAGTTGGGCAAAGAAATTAAGGGGATTAATGTCATGTCGACAGTTCTGAATGAATAGATCGCGTGCAGGTAAAAGCCAGAGGGAGGGAGAGTGTTGGAGCTGGGTGAAGGGGTCTGTTGGACGGGGAGAGGACTCTTGTCCAAAGAAATGGACACGTAGGCAAAGGCAATGGAAGTTCAGCTTGACGCATGTTGTGCCCAAAATTCATTAAGGTGGAGGTGCACAGGGATAAAACTGAGGCCTCTGCTGAGTATAGAATGTTCAGCATCAGAGAGTGGAAGGTCAGGAGGGATAGTGAATACACGACAGGAGGTAGGGTTGGGAGAGGGGATGGAGTCAATGGGAAAGAGAGGGGAGGAAGATTCCAGAGAGCTTGGGAATCTTCAAATTGTTGCATCTTGTGCACATTGATGCCTGAAAGGAAGAGAAAAGGTTTCTTGTTAGCATGTTGAATGAGCCAGAGGATGAAGTGGAACTGGGGAATGGTGCAGCCCTGAGCCAGTGTGATGCGATGCTGTTGGAGATAGTGGTCATGAGTGTGTATGTGACACCGCACTGAGTGTGGAGCTCAGGACGCGACAAGAGCAGCTATCTGTGAAACATTGTACATCACGGAGACACCTATGATCCTGGGTGGATTGAAAGCACAAAGGATGAAACTTGAGTTGGAATCCTCATGGGATGACTCTGAGCCTTTAGTGTTGAGACCCTTGCTTTTCTTGATTTAGTAAACATTTGGAATTTTGTGAACAGGAAACAATTTCAAAATTTGTGGATAATATGAAATTTGGAAGTACAGTCAGCTGTGTGGTAAACATCCAGAATGTCTGATAAGTTGGTGAAATGGGCAAACAGGTAGCAAGTGAAGTTCAATGAGGAGAAATGTGAGGTGATTCAGTTTGGCAGGAAGAACATGGATACACAATGTAAAATAAAAGGTACGAAAGGGGGTGCAGGAGCAGAGAGGCCTGGGGTATATGTGCATGACTCAAACGTGAAAGGAAGGTTGAGAAAGCAGTCAATAAAGTATACAATATCCTGGGCTTTATTCATAGGATCTTAGAGCAATAGAGCAAGGAGGTGTTGTTGAATATGTATAAGTTTGGCCTCAGCTAGTGTATTACTTACAGTTCTCTGTGCCAGACTTCATTGTAAAGATATAAACTCATTGGAAAGAGTGCAGAGAGGCTTATGACAATAGTTTGAGGAGGAGACACTTTAGTTCTGAACGTAGATTAGAAAAGTTTGGACTGTTTTCCTTAAAGAAGATTAAGGGTAGATGTTATAAATGTTTTCAAAATTATGAAGGGGCTGGACAGAGTAAACAGAGAAAACCTGTTCTCAATCATGAAAAGACAAAGAACTAGAGGACACAGATTTAAAATAATTGGCAAAAGAAGTAAAAGTGATATGAGAAAAGTTTTCCACACAGTGGTTAGCATATGGAATGTGCTACCTGAGTGTGTGGTAGAGAAGATTCAATCAAGGGTTTAAAAAGGTAGATTGTTACTTGAAAATAAACAATATGCCAAAATTCTCTAAAGCTCCTTAGACAGTACCTTCCAAGCCCATGACCACTACCATTCAGAAGGACAAGTGCAGCAGACACCATCATCTACAAGATCCCCTCCAAGCCACTCACCATCCTGACTTGGAAATATATCACCGTTCTTTCAACGTCGTTGGGTCAAAATCCTGGAATTCCCTCCCTAGTGGCAAGTGGACTGCAGTGGTTCAAGAAGGCAGCTTACCACCATCTTCTCAATTAGGGTTGGGTAATAAATGCTGGCCAAGCCAGTGATGCCTACATTCCCTGAATTAATATGAAAATTTACAGGGAGAAGGCAAGAAAATGGCACTACATGAAATTCTGATTCAGAGAGCCAGTGCGGACACAATGGGTAAATGATCTCCTGCACTGCATTAACGAAGTAATTCTGTGATTTCCCCAACGAGAAGGACAAGGTCAGAATGCATATGGCAATATTCCAACTTGGACATCTATTGACTGTTCCTTCATCGACCCTACATCAGAAAGCTGGAATAACCTATGATAGAGCACTATAGGTTCATCTTCACCACAAGGAATGCAATGGATCAAAATGAAGGCCCACTGGCACCTTCTCTGGGGTGACTTGCAAAGGAGAGTGAAGACTACTCTTCACAATCATACCAACATCAACTAGAACTAACTGATGAAAATTTGGTTGTTCCCAAGTCAAACTGGGAAGTGTCTACCCTGCTCCTCACTACTCTCTGCTACTAACGAATTTTTGACTTCAGGCAACAACTTCTCAATATTGAGTACTGAATTGTCAAATCAAAACCAAAGGGAGAAATATTAAATTTCATGTTTAGACCTCCATCAACAGCAGCTCTAGGGGCCAAAGCAAGAAGCAGGCAGAAAATTCCAACAAACCTTTTCATTAATGTTCTTCAAGTTTAATGTTTGTACTTTGGCAGCCAAGTCATTGAGAGCACGCCTGTTGGCAGCATTCTTCCGATTGAAATCATCCTTTCTCGTTCTCATCAAGACCTCTGTCTTACGACGGGTGACAGCAGATGCACTGATAATACTGGGGAGGGTCACCGTGGAAATATTTACCATCCTCTCTGCCTGACACGACTGATCATATGAGTTTCGTATACTGTCATAAGCCCCTGGTAAGAGGAAACAATCATTCAAGGTTAATCATGCCAATCGCCAACAACATGAGAAAATGTATAAATGAGAGAGAGGAACAAAGGGAGATAGGAGTACACATCTGTGAATCCTTAAAAGTCGCAATGTGAATTGTCAAAGCCATTCATTTATACAGGAATAAAATTGAAAAGCAAGGAATATGTAATAAACTTGTAAAGAGTCACAATTTGGCCTGCATTTTCATTACATTGGAAGGACTGTGAACCTTGGCCAAAATGGCAGTGGACTCCAAAACTTGAAGTCCATAAGACTATAAGACATAGGAGCCGAAATTAGGCCATTCAGCCCATCGAGTCTGCTCCACCATTCAATCATGGCTCATAAGTTCCTCAACCCCATTCTCCCACTTTCTATCTGTAACCCTTGATCTCCTTGATAATCAAGAACCTATCTATCTCAGTCTTAAATGTACTCAATGACCTGCCTCCACAGCCTTCTGTGGCAGTGAATTCCATATATTCACCACTCTCTGGCTGAAGGAGTTTCTCCTTATCTCCGTTCTAAAAGGTCTTCCCTTTACTCTAAGGCTGTGCCCTCGGGTCCTAGTCTCTCCTACCAATGGAAACATCTTCCCAACATCCACTCTGTCCAGGCCATTCAGTATTTTGAAAGTTTCAATTAGATCCCCCCTTCATCCTTCTAAACTCCAATGAGTATAGTCCCAGAGTCCTCAAACGTTCCTCCTATGTTAAGCTTTTCATTCCTCGGACCATTCTCATGAACCTCCTCTGAACCCGCTCCAGGGCCAGTACATCCTTCCTGAGAGATGGGGCCCAAAACTGCACACAATACTCCAAATGTGGCCTGAACAGAGCCTTATAAAGGCTCAGTAGTACGTCCCTGGTTTTATATTCAAGTTCTCTCAAAATAAATGCCAACATCACATTTGCCTTCCTGACTACTGACTCAACCTGCAAGTTTACCTTGAGAGAATCTTGGACTAGAACTCCCAAGTCTCTTTGCACTTCAGCCTTCTGAATTTTCTCCCCATTTAGAAAACAGTCCATGCTTTTATTCTTCTTACCAAAGTGCATGACCTCACACTTTCCCACATTGTACTCCATCTGCCACTTCTTTGCTCACTCTCCTAACCTGTCCAAATCCTTCTGCAGCCTCCCCACCTCCTCAATACTACCTGTCCCTCCACCTATCTTTGTATTGTCTGCAAACTTAGCCAGGATGCCCACAGTTCCTTCATCGAGATCATTAATGTACAAAGTGAAAAGTTGTGGTCCCAATACTGACCCTTGTGGAACACCACTTGTGACCAGCTGCCAACCTGAGAAAGACCCCTTTATCCCCACTCTCTGCTTTCTGCCAGACAGACAATCTTCTAGCCATGCTAGCACCTTGCCTCTAACACCATGGGCCCTTATCTTACTCAGCAGCCTCCTGTGTGGCACCTTGTCAAAGGCCTTCTTGAAGTCCAGGTAGATAACATCCATTAGGCTCTCCTTGGTCTGCCCTGCTCATTACTTCCTCAAAGAATTTGAGGCCTGTCTCCAAACCTGGCACATATCATTACTGCCAGTGGGGAGGAATGGAGGTGGGAAGTAGTTCACACAGCCATGCTTCTCAGGGGCATTTAACAGTGCAGCTGCCTTCAAGCAGAAGTCAATTGGGTCACATGGGTTTCTTCTACATGACTTGTGGGCTTTTGGCATTTGAGGGAAAGCTGTAAACCTACCAAAGTTCTTTAGAGAACTAATGACCCTTTTTGGAGTGGTGGAATACTCTTTTTGGAAAGCTTTGGTACCCCTTTGGGATTGCTAAGAGTGATATGAATGTACATAAAAAGTGGATAGGACCTTTGGAACTAATCAGCTATCAACTCTCTGCCCTTTATATTTTAGGAAAAGAAAAACAGCTTTTAGTTGATAAAAACTCAATGCCTGTAATTTCAAAAGGTTTTGCTATCTTATGCTTTCACAACCTGTCATAATCATGATTGGGGTTCTCTAATACATAGTATGATTAGCAGCTCAGAAAGGCAATCAAGTGATTACCTGTTTTCAATGGGGCGATATGAATACAAATTTCTGGCTTTATAAGGGATTAGGTATTTAGAGGATTGTATGTTTCTGATAAGCAATTAAGTGCTTGAAGAGATTTAAATACATTAAATGGTCTTATCGAGAGAAAAAAGCGACAGCTTATTAGTATCCTAAAGTTTATAATAGTTTCTTAGAACATATGCTCGAAGGTTCACTAAGTATATAAAGATGAAGAGAATAGTGAAAGTAAATTTTGGCCCTTTAGAGGACGAGCATGGTGAGGTAATAATAGATAACTCAGAAATGTCAGAGGCACTAAACCAATATTTTTTCTCTGTTTTCACAGTGGTAGCTAACAATCTCTTCTCAAAAACTGCAGTTAGTACAGAGGAGCTTGTGAAATTATTATAACTAGGGAGAAGGTGTTAAGTAAACTGATGGGATTAAGGGCAGATAAGTCCCTAGGGCCTGATGGCCTGCACCCCAGGGTGTTAAAGGAGGTGGCAGCAGAGATAATGGATGCATTAGTTCTGGTTTTCCAAAATTCCTGTATTCTGGAAAGGTGCCAGTGGATTGGAAACACGCTAATGTGACTCCCTTATTCAAAAAAAGAGATAGTTTCAGACTTTTTGCTGATAGACCAGTTAATTTGACGTTTGCATTGGAGAAATTGACGGTGTCAATCATAAAGGAGGAGAGAACTGAATACTAGGAAAAACAAAGCTCAATTCACCAGTGTCTGCACGGCTTCATGAAGGGCACATCATGCTTGACAAATGTGCTGGAGTTCTTTGTGAATGTAACTAGCAAGATAGATAACGGGGATGCCGTGGATGTGGTATATCTTGACTTCCAGAAGGCATCTGATAAGGTGCCACATAGAAGACTGATCCAGAAGGTTAGATCCTAGGGGGTAAGGGAAGAGTACTGGCTTGGATGGAGTATTGGCTGATTGACAGAAAGTAGAGGGGTGAATGGATCCTTCTCTGATGGTGTACTGTAACCACTGGGGCGCTGGAGGGCTCAGTTCTCAGACCTTAACTATTTACAATCGATATAAATGATCTGCAGGGACAGGGTGTAACATAGCAAAATTTGTGGATGATACTAAAATAGGTGAGAAAGCAGGCAGTGATGAGGAGATAAAGAGTTTACAGATGGGTATTGATAGGCGAGGAGAATGGACCAGAATCTGGCAGATGGAGTTTAATGTGGATAAGTGTGAGGATGTCCATTTTGACCAGAAAAATAAAAAAAATATTTAAATGGGAAGCAGATTCAAAGTGCTTCAGTGCTGAGGGATCTGGGTGTCTTTGTGCATGGATCATAGAAAGTGGGTATGCAGGTGCAGCATGTCATAAGAAAAGCAAATATTGCACAAGGACTGGATTATAAAAGTAATGTTGTTACAATTATATCAGATGTTGTTGAGGTCATACCTGGAGTATTGTGTCCAGTTTTGGTCTCCTTGCGTGAGGAAGGATGTGGTGGCACTGGAGGAAGTTCAGAGAAAGTTCTCCAGATTGATTCCAAGAATGAAAGAGGTGTCATACAAGAAGTGATTGAATAGCTTGTGCTTGTACCCACTTGAGTTCAGAGGAAAGAGGGGGATCTGACTGAGGTATATAAAATGCTAAAGGGGATTTATAAGGTGGACGTTGAACAGATGATCCCCCTTGTAGGACAAAATCGAACATAGGTCATAGATATAAAGTGAGAGGAGGTAGGTTCAGAACTGAGATGAGGAGGAACTACTTCTCTCAGAGGGTTGTGGAACTTACTGCCCGAGAATGCAGTGGAAGCAGAATCAATCAACAAATTTAAGAAATAATTGACATGTTTCTGATAAAAAGCAGGATAAAGGGATAAGGGGCAGGCAGGAGAGTGGAATTGAGACCAGGATAAGATCAGCCATCATCATGTTAAATGACGGAGCAGGCTTGAAGGGCTAAATTGCCTATTCCTGCTTCTAATTCATATGTTCCTATATTCCTATGTTCCTATTATTAGATCTCAGCATGGTTCCTGAGGTCTGTCCATGGTGGGTACTGGAGTGGGTTTCTTGGATAGTGTAAGATTAAAGGGTAGTGGATAATGGGCATGTGTTGACAAGAGTTGGTACTAAGGGCTATAACAGGCCATGACGATGAGTGGGAGTCATGGGTTGGGACAGTTTGTATTATGCTGGCACGGAGTGTACGAGGGGACTATGGCATGGTCAAGGAGCTTTGTTTGGCATGAGGACCAATGGTGTTGGGTAGAGGGTATAGGTTGGTATGGCATGTATGATGGGCCTACGGTGTGTAGAATGCATAAATTGGCCTGGAGAGTGTGAGGAAACATGAAGATGTGTAGGGTATATAAATTGACAGGGAGCATGTGTAGAGCATGAACATTGGCACAGACCAGTTGGGCCAATAGGTCTAGTGCTGTGCTGTAACATCTATGTCGTACCTTGAACACCTAAGACCCAAACAACTGTTATAGAAGGCTGACATCTAAATACCACTCTCCGAATGGAGCTTCAGGAGAACTGAGTAGGTCAGAGAGTTAGCAACAATAACTTGGATTTGTAAATAGCCTTTAACGTAATAAGATGCATAAGATCTTTAGCATGTGCCAGTGGCGTAGCAAGACAGGGAGATTCCGGAAGAGAATTCCAGATATCAGGCCATATTTTTCCTTCAATCAAATTTCTGTTGGTGGAGAGTGAAGTGAGTAAGGGGCAGTATTAACCCAGTTCCTGGAAGTTATTATTTCAAATTGTCCTATGCAATTTCTTTCATCCTTTGGGGAATGATGAGTGTTTATTGGAAGGATTAATTGGCTGACTAATAGCCTAATAAAAACATATTATGAATATTCCTTCTGCGGCTTGCAAGTTCTGGATTCGGATAGAAATTGAAAGTGATGGAGAAACTCAGCAGGACTGGTAAGATCTGGGTTAGGACAAGTAGAGTTAAAGTTTTGACTCCATTATTTCAAAACAGTTCCAAAGAAGAGTCACAGTGGGCTCGAAATGTTAACCTTTTTTCTTTCTCACAGATGCTGATAGATCTGTCGAGTTTCTCCAACACTTTATTTTGATTTCATATTTCCATAATCCACTGTACTTTTATTTAAGTCCTCAAGTTGGACTTGAACCCAGAGTTTTGGTTCAGAAACTGGGAACTATCAACTGGGCTACTATTCAACCATCCAGGAGTTATGAACATACATCCACATTTCAGTTATACCCATTCCAGTAAAGGGTCATTGAGTATCAATTGGGGTGAGAAACGTGGATCATTTTTCAGGACTGGTGAAACGTATTATGCTTGTAACCCAGCAGAGATTACAGGAGCAGAAATAGAACATTCAACCCCTCCGTTAGATCATGGCACCTTTGTACAGCAGCTCCACTCAATCACCTGATGTCCTCCATTTCCACTGACAAAAATATTTCACTCACAGTCCTGAAAACTCCACCTGTTGTTTAGCATTTACAACCTTCAGGAGGAATGATAAAATGTTTCTCCATTTTCCTCCTGAACAGTCAAGCTGCAGTTCTAAGAATAAGCCCCCTCACCCCCTGCTTGTTCTAGAGTTCTCCCTTCAGATGAAATACTTTCTAACTATGCTCTTAAATCCTTTTCAGATCTGTTAGTTCACCCCTTAGACCTGGGCTAGAACTACTGACCTTCCTTTAGTAGTTTAGTACCACACTATATTTAGCCAAATACAGTCACTCAGCCAACAATGAACCAACACAGTTAAAGCAGCCATGAATTCATGGGGAAGATGAATTAGAGTGTACCAAGGAAATTGGAGTGCTTCAGTATGTCAAGTTGTCTGGACAGCTCCTTGCTGGAAAGATTTAGAGCTCTTGCTTCACGTTCCAGGTTACTCAGTTCAACACTGGCACCGCTGTTCTGGTTTTGTATTACAGTTAGAACGTCTTCAAGTCCATTCAAGATGTTCGTGGTCCCAGAAATTTGGTTCCTGGAGAAAATATTAAAACTTGGCTTTCAGTCTCATATTAACAAATATTGATTATTTCAACCAATCAATCCTGCTTTCCTGCCCACTCCTGAAATCCATTAATATCCCATCTAATCTATTGCAATTCTACTGCTCACTCCCAATATCCTTTAATTTATCAGTCTAACCTAACTCCTGATCAGTTCCCCTAGTCTTTAATATACACGTCTCTCTCTTTTTATTTCCCATGCTGTTTAATATCCCACTCAATTGAATCCCATTCGCCCGTTACCTCTGATTGTCATTTAAAGGACTATCCTTTTTATTAGACTGCTGAGGATACCATCACCCAAACATTATTTAAATTTTGAATGTTCCATAGAGAAACCACCAAATCTTTTCTCATTGGGTTTGATTCATAATTTCTGGAGCTGTGAGCAATAGTCATATCACATCATACTCAGAATGAATCACTCACCGTAGATTGCTTATCACATTCATGAGCTCAGCCACTGCTACAGCAGTTGCGTTTCGTGCATTTACAATCCTCTGAGCTTGCAGCAACTTCTCCTCCAGGCCACGGAAGTTACTTTCATAGAAGCCACTGACTCCAGTCAGTCTAATCTCACTGGCTCGTTCCACCAGACTCTTTGTTTGAGCTGCTAAGTCCTGCACAATGCGATCCCAGTCTCCAAAACACTGGTGGCAAGGGTAACAGTCCGGGAACTGTCCTGAGAACCCACGGGCACATTTGTCACAACGCACCCCAGATACCCCTTGACGGCACACGCAATGCCCAGTCACCCGATCACACTGGCTTGTAGCAATGCCTCGATGATCACAGTCACAAACTGAGAAAACAGAAATTAGTGAGAAAATCACTATTGAGACTTTGCAATCCTTGGGGCAGGGAGAAGAGACTCAACATGCCAGTTTCACAATCCTGAGATCAAAGAATCACAAGATTGTTATGTTGTAGAAGGCCACTTGGACCTTTGTGTCCGCGCTGGCTCTCTAAATGAGCAACATGACTTAGTTCCATTTTCCTGCCCTTTTCCCCATAACTCTGCACGTAGTTTCTATTCAAACAAATCATTCAATGTTTCTATTCAAACAAATCATTCAATGTTTCTATTCAAATAATCATTCAATGCCCTCTCAAATGCCTCAGTTGACCTTGTCTCCAGTACATTTTGAAGCAGTGACTTCTACAGTCAAACCTGCTTGCTGTGTGGTAAAGTGATTTTTCATATCATTTTGCTTCTTTTGCAAAGAACTTTAAATCTGTGCCCTTTCATTCTTGACTCTTTTGAGTGAGAACAGATTTTTCCCTATCTACTCTGCGCAAGACAGTCAATTTTGAAAATGTTTATCAAGTTTTCTCTCAGCCTCCTCTTCTCCAAGGAAAACAATTCTAATTTCACCAATCTATCCTCATTACTGAAGTTTCTCATCCATGGAGCTATTCTCCTAAATCTCTACTCTCTCCAATGTGTTCACATCCTTCCTGTGGTATAAAGAATGTATACCATATTTCAGCTGATGTATCTTACACAAGTCAGCATCACCTCCCTGCTCTTGTGCTCTATGTCCTTATTAATAAAGTCAAAGATACTTTATTATCTGCTCTCTGCATATGTCTTACCATCCTTAATGACTTATAAACTTATATGCCCAGGTCTGTCTGTTCCTCCATAACTTTAAAATGAGTAGCCTTTCTTTTGTATTTTGTGACAATGTTCTTTCTACCAAAATGTATTAGCTGAGTCTTCTTCATCTGCAACATATCCTCCTACTCCACCAATGTGTCAGTGTCCTTCAAAAGTTCTATACTCCTTCTCATAGTTTACAATATTTCCAAGTTTTGTATCATTCACAAGTTTTACAGGGGTTATGAATCCCCTGTACACCAAGGTCTACATCACTAATGTATATCAGAGAAGCAATACTGACTTCTTGGGAGCTCCATGACAGACCTTTCTCCAATCTAAGAAATATAAACCATTACTCTGGGATAGTAGGAACTGCAGATGCTGGAGAATCTGAGATAACAAGGTGTAGAGCTGGATGAACACAGCAGGCCAAGCAGCATCAGAGGAGCAGGAAGGCTGACGTTTCGGGCCTAGACCCTTCTTCAGAAATGGGGGAGGGGAGGGGAAGGGGGTTCTGAAATAAATAGGGGGAGAGGGGGAGGCGGTTAGAAGATGGATAGAGGAGAAGATAGGTGGAGAGGAGACAGACAGGTCAAAGAGGTGGGGATGGAGCCAGTAAAGGTGAGTGTAGGTGGGGAGGTAGGGAGGAGATAGGTCAGTCCAGGGAGGACAGACAGGTCAAGGGGGCGGGATGAGGTTAGTAGGTGGGAGATGGGGTTGGGGCTTGAGGTGGGAGGAGGGGATAGGTGGGAGGAAGGACAGGTTGGGGAGGCGGGGACGAGCTGGGCTGGTTTTGGGATGCGGTAGGGGGAGGGGAGATTTTGAAGCTTGTGAAGTCCACATTGATACCATTGGGCTGCAGGGTTCACAAGCGGAATAGAAGTTGCTGTTCCTGCAACCTTTGGGTAGCATTGTTGTGGCACTGCAGGAGGCCCAGGATGGACATGTCGTCTGAGGAATGGGAGGGGGAGTTGAAATGGTTTGCGATGGGGAGGTGCAGTTGTTTAGTGCGAACCGAGCGTAGGTGTTCTGCAAAGTGGTCCCCAAGCCTCCGCTTGGTTTCCCCGATGTAGAGGAGGCCACACCGGGTACAGCAGATGCAGTATACCACATTAGCAGATGTGCAGGTGAACATCTGCTTGATGTGGAAAGTCTTCTTGGGGCCTGGGATGGGGGTGAGGGAGGAGGTATGGGGGCAGGTGTAGCACTTCCTGCGGTTGCAGGAAAAGTGCCGGGTGTGGTGGGGCTGGAGGGGAGTGTGGAGCGGACAAGGCAGTCCCGGAGAGAGTGGTCCCTCCAGAAAGCAGATAAGGGTGGGGAGGGAAAAATGTCTTTGGTGATGGGGTTGGATTGCAGATGGCTGAAGTGTCGGAGGATGATGCATTGGATCTGGAGGTTGGTGGGGTGGTACATGAGGACGAGGGGGATTCTGTTTTGGTTGTTATTGCGGGGAGGGGGTGTGAGGGATGAGTTGCGGGAAATGCGGGAGACACGGTCGAGGGCGTTCTCGACCACTGAGGTGGGGGAGTTGCGGTCCTTGAAAAACGAGGACATCTGAGATGTACTGGAGTGAAATGCCTCATCCTGGGAGCAGATGCGGCAGAGGCAAAGGAATTGGGAATAGGGGATGGCATTTTTGCAGGAAGGTGGGTGGGAGGAGGTGTAGGCTAGGTAGCTGTGGGAGTCGGGCTTGAAATGGATATTGGTTTCTAGGTGGTTGCCAGAGATGGAGACAGAGAGGTCCAGGAAGGAGAGAGAGGTATTGGAGATGGTCCAGGTGAACTTAAGGTTGGGGTGGAAGGTGTTGGTGAAGTGGATGAACTGTTCGAGCTCCTCGAGGCAGCGCCGATACAGTCATCAATGTAACGGAGGAAGAGGTGGGGTTTAGGGCCAGTGTAGGTACGGAAGAGGGATTGTTCCACGTAACGTACAAAGAGGCAGGCATAGCTTCACAAGCTTCAAAATCTCCCCTCCCCCTACCTCATCCCAAAACCAGCCCAGCTCGTCCCCACCTCCCTAACCTGTCCTTCCTCCCACCTATCCCCTCCTCCCACCTCAAGCCCTACCCCCATCTCCTACCCACTAACCTCATCCTGCCCCCTTGACCTGTCCGTCCTCCCTGGACTGACCTATCTCCTCCCTACCTCCCCACCTACACTCACCTTTACTGGCTCCATCCCCGCCTCTTTGACCTCTGTCTCCTCTCCACCTATCTTCTCCTTTATCCATCTTCTATCCGCCTCCCCCTCTCTCCCTATTTATTTCAGAATCCCCTTCCCCTCGCTCAATTCTGAAGAAGGGTCTAGACCCGAAACGTCAGCTTTCCTGCTCCTCTGATGCTGCTTGGCCTGCTGTGTTCATCCAGCTCTACACCTTGTTATCTCTAAACCAATACTCTGTTCTCTTATCTCTCAACAAATTTTGTATCCACATTGTGATTGTCCCTTTTATTCTATGCGGACTAATTTTATTCCCAAGTCTATTGTGCAGCACTGTATCAAACATCTTTTGAACTCTATGTACACCACAGCATCAAGTACCTTCATCAACTCTCTGTTACCTCTTCAAAAAAACTCCATCCAAGTTATAGTCATAGTGTGATACTGGACAGAAACAGATTCTTCAGTCCAGCTTGTCTGCGCTGACCATACATCTTAATCTGACCTTCGTACCATTTGCCAGCATTTGACCCCATATCCCTCTTAACCTTTCCTATTCATATACCCATCCAGATGCCTCTTCAATGCTGTAATTGTACCCACCTCCACTACTTCCTGTGGCAGCTCGTTTCATACACACACTATCCTCTGCGTGAAAAAATTACCCCTCAGGTCCTTCTTATATCTTTCCCCTCTCACCTTAAACCTATGCCCTCTAGTTTTGGACCCACCCCCACCCTAGGAAAAAGACCTTGGCTATTTACTCTATTCATTCCCCCTATGATTTTATAAACCTCTACAAGGTCACCTTTCAGCCTCCTATGCTCCAGGGAAAAAAGCTGCGACCTATTCAGCCTCTCCCTTTCACTCAAACCCTCCAGTCCCAGCAACATCCTCGTAAACCTTTTATGCACCCTTTCAAGTTTAACAACATCCTTCCTATAGAATGGCAACCAGAACTGTACACAGTATTCTAAAAGTGACCTAACCAATGTCATGTACAGTCGCAACATGATGTCCCAAATTCTATACTCAATGTTCTGACCAATGAGTACCAGAGGCTTCCCTATACACAGAGAAAGAAAGCTCTCATTTTTATAGTCTTCATCAAACATTCCCAGGACAGGGACAGCATGGGATTACACACAGAGTAAAGCTTCCTCTAGTCTTTTGTGGGATCATACAGCATGGAAACAGACCCTTCAGTCTTACTGGTCCATGCCGACCATGTTTCCAAACTGAACTAGTTCCACTTGTCTGCATTTGGCTCATATCCCTCCAAACTTTTCCTATTCATGTACTTATCAAAATGTCTTTTAAATGTTGTAACTGTACCTGCAAATTTCATTTCCTTTGGCAGTTCACTCCACACACGTACCAGTGTCTGTGTAAAAAACTCACTCAGAGATAGTAGGAACTGCCGACGCTGGAGTCTGAGATAACAAGGCATACAGCTGGATGAATACAGCAAGCCAGGCAGCATTAGAGGAGCAGGAAAGCTGACATTTCAGGTCTGGACCCTTGTTCAAAAAAATTTTCTGAAGAAGGGTCCAGACCCAAAACGTCAGCTTTCTTGCTCCTCTGATGCTGCTTAGCTTGCTGTGTTCATCCAGCTCCACACCTTGTTATCTGTGTAAAAAAGCTGCCTCTCATGTCCTTTTTAAAACTTTCTCTTCTCACGTTAAAAATATGCACCCTTGCTTTGACCTATCCCAACCTAGGGAAAAGACCCTAACAATTCACCTTATCCATGCCCCTCATGATTTTATAAACCTCTATAAAGTCACTCCTCAACCTCCTACGGTCCAGTGAAAAACGTCCCAAACCATTCAGCCTATTTTTATAGCTCAAACCCTCCATTCCTGGCAACATCCTGGTAAATCTTTTATGAACCCTTTCCAACTTAATAATATCCTTCCTATAATAGGCTGACAAGAACTGCACTCAGTACTCCAGAAGAGGCCTCACCAAAGTCCTGTACAACCACAACACCCCAATTCCAAAGGTCTGAGCAATGAAGGCAAGTATGCTAAACACCTTCTTAACCACCCTGTCTACCTGTGACGCAAATTTCAAACAATTATGTACCAAACCCCAATGTCTCTCTGTTTAACAATACTACCCAAGCTTCTTCCATTAATTGTATAAGTCCTGCCCTAGTTTCTTTTAGCAAAATGCAATACCTCGCATTTATCCAAATTAAACTCCATCTGCCACTCCTCAGGCCATTGACCCAATTGATCAAGATCTCTTTGTAATCTTATATAACTTTCTTCACTTTAAAACCTGACAAAGGAGCAGTGTTCCAAAAGCATGTGATTTTAAATAAACCTTTTGGACTAAAACCTTGTGTCATGTGACTTCTGACAAACTTACGAAGCATGCCTCCTATATTCTCATCCAAATCGTTTATATAAATGACAAATAAAGTGGATCCAGTATCAATCTCTGTGGTACACCGCTGGTCACAGACCTCTAGTCCGAAAAACAACCCTCTACCACCACCCTCTGTTTCCCATAATCAAGCTAATTTTACATCCAATTGGCAAGCTCATCCTGAATCCCATGTGATCTAATTTAAGAATTAGTTCATCACATGGAACCCTGTCAAAGTCTTTACTAAAGTCATATAAATAATATCTACCACTCATTCCTTATCAGTCTTTTTGGTTACTTCCTCAAAAATCTCAATCAAGTTTGTTGACACGATTTCCCTCGCACAAAATCATGCTGACTACCCCTAATCAGTCCTTGCCTCTCCAAATGTATGTAAATCCTATCTTTCAGAATCACCTCCAACAAATTATCCACCACCACCATCATCATCATCAGTGCTCCCGCGCAGACAAGGAAGACTCTCTTCCACTCTCAGGGTGAGTCTGTAGATGGCTGTACAAATTGACATGGCTACCACAGGCTCTGTCACACTTGGGGCAGGTGGTGGGCGTGGGAAATGGTGGGTCAGGCATTAGTGTGGCAGCGCTTCCCTTTCATTGATTTCACCTCGCTTCCGTTTCTTCCTGACAGCAAGAAACAATGCAACCTCCAGCTATATAACCCTATTCTCTCTTGCTGCCTTTCTCTAATGGAGAGAGAGGTCTATGGTCCGTCGTGAACTATGGCTAATAACATAATAACGGTAATCTTTTACAACTACCCAAGTGGGCAGACAGGGTTTCAGATTAATGGTCCACCCAAAAGACAGCACTTCCATTAACGCAGCATTCCTTAAGTACAGTGTTGATAATAGAACAGTACAGCAGAGGAACAGGCATTTCAGCCCGCCATGTCTGTAGCAATCACAATGCTATTCTAAAGTAATCCCATCAGCCTGCAAACGATGCATATCCCTCTATTCTCTGACTGTTCATGTGTTTGTCTAAATGCCTCTTAAACTTTTCTACCACAGCTGCTTCTACCACCTCCCTTGACAGTATATTTCAGGCACCTATTACCTCTGCATAAAGAAACATTGCTCGTACATTTCCTCCTTTAAAATTTCCCCCTCTCACCTTAAATCTATGCCCCCTGGGAAAGAGACCCAACTATCCACCCTATCCATGCCTCTCATAATTTTATTTACATCTATCAGGTCACCCCTCAGCCTCCAACACTCTAGTGAAAACATTCCAAGTTTGTCCAACCTCTCCTTATAGCTAATACACTCCAATCCAAGCAACATCCTGGTGAACATCTTCTGCACCCTGAAATAACTACATTGAGGCCGGTATCCCGTCACCAAGTCCCCCCTGGTCCAACTCCCTCAGAGCCAGCTCCCAGAGTGAACAGGATATCTGACACTCCTGTTTATATCTGTCAGCCAGGGTTCTCTGATTTGACCAGATTAACAGCTCCAATCAGGGAACTCATATTCTATGAGGTCCACCTGGCTGACCTCATTACAGTCACTACATCCCTCTGAGTCTTTGCAACTCCTGCTGGGACGTTTTAGCACAGGGTCTGGTTCTTCCAACTCTGCCTCTGGTACAAGTGGCATGTAACGCACTGTAGCTTGTGCCTGGAACGTCTCAGAAGAAATTCATTCTCTTCTCGTGGCAAGAGCAGCGAGGTGGTGACATCCACTGTGTCCACATCAGATTCCGGTGAGTTTGCAGTTTTCATATGGTCCACGTGCTTTTTCATGACTGTTTCTCCTACCCGAACATATATGTCACTGGACCTGACCTCACGTCGACCATGCCTCTTACCCATGCAGGGCCATTCCCATGGTTTCTACACCAAACTTTGTTGCCTGAAGTAAACTGTCCCTCTCGCTTAGCGAGTCTTGTGTGTGGTATTGGCATCATTGATGCTGTTTCATCCTCCCCCATCCAGGTCCAGGAGGATCAGATTTAACCCGGTGCAGGGTCTTCTCCCCATTAGCAACACTGCTGGAGCTATCTCTGTAGTTGTTTGAAGAGTAAATTCGTCACTTGCTCACAAAAACAAGTTTGTGAGACAAGACCTCCCCTGCACAAAGCCACGCTAACTGTCGCTAATAAGTCTATTCTTCTCCAAATATGAGTAAATTCTGTACCTAAGAAACTTCTCCAATAACTTTCCTACCACTGACGTAAGGCTCACCAGCCTGTAATTTCCTGGATTATCTGTGTTGCCCTTCTTGAACAAAGGAACAACATTGGCTATTCTCTAGTCTTCTGGGACGTTGCCTGTGGCTAAACAGGATACAAAAATTTCTGTCAAGGCTCCAGAAATCTACTCCCTTACCTCCTGCAGTATCCTGGTATAGATTCTATGAAGCCTTGGGGACGTACCTACCTCAATGTTTTTTCAAGACCCCCAACACCTCATCCTTCTTAATACTGACCTGTCTTACAATATGAACAAACAACTCTCTGAAGTTACTATTATCCATGTCTTTCTTCCTGGTGAATACCAATCTGAAGTACTCATTAAGGATCTCATCCACTTTCTCTGGTTCCACACGTATTTGTCCTCATTTGTCCTTGAGTGGACTTTTCCTTTTCCCCGAGTTACCCTCTTGCTCCTAGTATACGTATAAAATGCCTTGGGATTCTCCTTAACCCTATTTGCCAAGGACATTTCATGGTCCCCTCTAATCATCCTAATTTTTTTTGTAATTTCTTTTCCTCTTCTTTTATACTACTCAAGAGCCTTGTTTGATTTCTGTTTCCTAAATCTTGCATATCTTTCCTTTTTCTTTGTAACTTAACTCATAACATCTCTCATCATCCAAAGTTCCCGGATCTTTCCACCCTTATCTTTCATCCTCACAGGAACATGCTGGTCTTAAACTGTGGTCAGCTGGCATTTAAAACTCTCACTTGTCAGATGTGGATTTATCTTGAAACAGCTGTCCCCAATCTAATTTCTCCAGTTCCTGCCTAATACAGTTGTAATTAGCCTTCCCCCAGTTTAGCACTTTCACCCAAGGCCGAGTCTTATCCTTTTCCATAACAATCTTAAACCTTACAGAATTGTGATCACTGTTCCCAAAATGCTGCCCCATTCAAACTTTGATCGCCTGGCCAGGCTCATTCCCCAGTATGAGATCTGATATGGTCCCTTCCCTAGTTGCATTATCAAATGTTGTTTCAAGAATATCTTCTGGATGCATCTACAAATTCTGCCCCATCTAAGCCCCTGGCTCTAAGGGAGTCTCAGTGAATATTGGGGAAATTAAAATCACCCACTACTACAACCCTGTTGATTTTACATCTTTTCTATGATCTGCATCTATATCTACTCCTCTAATTCCTGCTGGCTATTGGAAGGCCTGTGGTGTAACCCCATTATAATGAATGCACCTTTCTTATTCCCAAATTCTGTCCATATTGCCTCGCTGGATGAGCTCTCCAAGATATCCTCTCTTAGTACGGCTGTGACATTCTCCTCAATCAGTAATGCAATTCCTCCAACCTTTTTACATCCCTCTCTATCACACTGAAACATCTAAACCCTGCAACGTTGAGCTGCCAGTCCTGCCCTTCTCTCAACCAGGTTTTTGTAATAACTACCACATCATAGTCCCATGTACTAACCCAGTCTCTAAGGCGATCTGCCTTATCTATTATTATTAAATAAATGCACCAGACTAGTCCCATTATGTTCATTAATGTAGCCCTGCCTGTTCTTCCTACTAGACTTGATTTAGCCCCTTTCTTTTCTTCAGACACTCCACATGATGACCTACGACTCTGGTTCCCATCCTCCTGCCTCACTAGTTTAAACCCTCCCTAATAGCAATAGCAAACCTCCCTGCAAAGATATTAGTGCCGCTCTAGTTTAGGTGCAAAACGATTATGAGATCAAGATTTGAGTCTTTAGCGGACACCATTTTAACTGACTACGCTTCCTGAATTGTAGCCTGTGCCCCATGAGTGAAGAGAACACTGTCTGTAGAGGGAAAGAAGGGAAATGGTTGCTCACCTCGACACTGCACGTTAGGATCACCCCAGTAATTCTCCTGGCAATCTGTGCAAGACTGACCCCCGAACCCAGGACGGCAATGACACTGACCAGTGAACTGAAAAGAGGAAAACACAAAATCAACCTCAGAAGTTGATCCATTAGATTTTGAAATATTTTGTCCTGTTTGTCAGATATTCTGTTCTGTACATGAAGATTCCAGGCATTGTCTTATCTTTCTTCCCACTTTTCCTTTGTCTCTTCGGTTGGTCCTCTTCACAGGTGATGGTAGATAGAGTGTCGCTGTGTGCCACAAGCTTCCCCCTATCCAGCTCTATGGGAAATTCTGGTAAATAGTTGGCTGGACTCACCTGAACGTCCTCCAAAATTCTCTGATTCTCCCATCTCCACTTGTACATCCTTTGATAATGCAGTTTGTGATCAGGATTGGGGCAGGACTTGCAGTTACACGTAATGTGGGATATATTGTAATGGAACATGTTTAAGCTAAACACTCGCTGCTGCTCAGGAGCACAGGTCATAAATTTAGGTGCACACAGAACAATGTATATTTGCCATTCTTTTATTATCACTGTGTCAAAATCCTGGGGATGCTGACATCACTAATGAGAACACCTTCACCACAGTCTACAGTGATTCACAATGCATGCTCACCACAAGAACAATTAGGGATGAACAAATCAGTTTTGGACGCACCAGTGATGTCCGCATTCAGGGCAGAAAAACCAGAAACTCTGTCCCAATGGTCCACGTTGAAAAACAAATGTTGACCATGTAATTGTAGAGCTCCTCAGCTAAAATATGCATGTATATCCACTTTGATATACAGACAGGATTTAGCATCACACTGGAAAGATGGCACCTTTATCAATGTAATGTTCTTCAGCACTGAACTCAAGCATTTGGCCTGAATAATTTGCACAAATGGGCTTGAAAAATGGAAATATTTGCATTTATATAGCTCCTTTCTTGGCTGCAGGAGTCCCAAAAAGCTTTACAGCAATGCAGCACCTTTGAAATAAAATTACTATTGTAATTTAGGAAACACAAGAATTAATTTGATCTGAGATAACAAGGTGTAGAGCTGGATGAACACAGCAGGCCAAGCAGCATCAGAGGAGCAGGAAAGCTGACGTTTCGGGTCTGGAGGGTCCAGTTATCTCAGATTCTCCAGCATCGGCAGTTCCCACTATCTCTGAACTAATTTGATCTGGTACGATCCCACAGACAGCAGTTGTGCGATGTTGATTTAGGGATAAATATTGGCCAAGACATCCAGGATAACTCCCCTGCTCTTCAGACAGCACTTCAGAATCTTTTAAATCCAGCTCAGATGCTAGAGAGGACCTCAGTTTAAATTCGCAACTGAATGCCGGCTCCTCAGACACTGCAACATTCTCTCAGAGACAAAAATAGAAATTGCTGGGAAAGTTCAGCAGGTCTGGCAGCATTTGTGGAGAGAAATCAGAGCTAACCTTTTGGGTTGAATGACCCTTCCTCAGAATGTCCTCAGTTGCCAGACCTGCTGAGCTTTTCCAGCAATTTCTATTTTTGTCTGTGATTTACAGCGTCCACAGTTCTTTCAGTTTTTATTTAACATTCTCTAAGTACTGCACTAGTGTGTATGCCTGGATTCTTTGTACTGAAGTGGAATGAGACTCAGATCACAACCTCCTGACCGAACCCACAACCTCCTGACTCAGGTGCAGTCCTGTGGTATTAACCTGAGTGGAATAATCCCCGAATGGAGAGAATATTCCTCAGATAAAGTCTATTAGTTCAGTGTTACCCAGTCTGAATTTACATTTTGCGGCAACTATGCTTTCACCTGACTTACCTCATTACATTTGGATGTAAAGGAGTTGATACTGGTACATCGACAGGGCACACAGCCTGACCCACTGTTCAGGTTCCAGTAGTTTGGAGCACAGCGATTGCAGTTCTGGCCAATCACATTAGGCAGACAGGAGCACTGCCCTGTGCTTCGATTGCATGCACACTCGTCCCTCGATGGGCACTGGTCAGGCCTGGTGCCCAGATAATTACACATACATTCTGTGCCAAGCAACAAAAACATTATTTAGTAAAAGCAATGGGATAAAAGGCTATCAATTAATTATTTCATTTTCACTCAAACTTGAAACTTTAATTTTACAATTTGTCGCACATTACAAATATATTGGCTGCAAACCTATCAACAATGAGACATCTCAGAACATTTCCTGGAAGTTAGGAACAAAAACAGAAATCGCTGGAGAGACTCAGCAGGTCTGGAGACATCTCTGCAGAGAAAGCAGAATTAATGTTTTGAGTCCAGTGACCCTTCTTCAGTACTCAGTTCCCTGGGAGTTATAATTTTGTCCTCACTTTTCAACTGCAGTGTATGTTGTGTTGAAAATTGCTGCAAATATGAACAGCTAACAGTATAGCGAGAACAACTGGGCATTGGGCATCTCAGTGTACATCAGTCTATCTCCATAAACGAGATTTAAGAATTGAAAAAGAAACAGAAATGGCAGAGCAGGAAATAGGCTGAATTAGACCCAAATCAGATGCAGAAAGAAAATCAAAGAGAGGGTACAAAAAATTTAATTAAGATAAATGAAGAGAGGCATAGGTAGAGTGGATAGTCAGAGACTTTTTCCCAGGGCGGAAATGACTATTACAAGGAGACATAATTTTAAGGTGATTGGAGGAAGGTATAGGGGAGATGTCAGAGGTAGGTTCTTTACGCAGAGAGTGGTGGGTGTGTGGAATGCGCTGCCAGCAGTGGTAGTGGAGTCAGATACTTCAGGGACTTTTAAGCGACTCTTGGATAGGCACATGGAGGATAGTAAAATGTAGGGTATGCAAGGTAGATTGATCTTAGTAGGATAATAGATCGACACAACATCATGGGGCAAAGGGCCTGTACTGAGCTATACTGTTCTCTGTTCTATGTTCTTTCTATAAAGGAGAAAAGAAAAGTAGAGTGACACTGCAGGAACATAGATCAAATTGACTTATGTTGTTAAGTTCGAGCCCTAACTTTCTGCAATAATGTGTAAACTTTTTAACGTCACCATAGTCTTCCTGGAGCAGAGGGCTGCTGCCTCAATAGAATAGTGGTCTAACCTGAAGGTCACCACACCCCAGATGAGGGTAAAGGTTGAGAGTCCTTTACAGTAACCTGTGTTATCAATATGCACATGCAGTAATTTTTTTGGAATTCACAGGTAAGTTGATAACAAGCTCCCTTTTTGATGAGCATAACAATGGAATGGCACAAATTGTCAGGGAATTTGTGCTAAATCTTGAAGCATGGGTATAATTTCATTGCCATAAATTGCTGGATGATAACAGATTACTAAGAATAACATTAATAGATAATACCATTAAACTTACTGTAAAATCAGGAATAAATTCTGAGCTTTACACAGCACAGAAAGAAGCAGAGATAGTAGGAACTGCCGATGCTGGA